TGTTCCTTCCCCAATACCAGCTAACTGCCCTTCGATTCCCACACTTTGATGTATATTTATCTTCACATTTCATTATTTTTTACTTTTTGCTCCATGAACCACCCGCAATACCTTCTTAAAGATCCATAGAAAGAAAACCCTTCTCAAAGGAGAAAAATAGGGTAAAGTTTCCAGCCACCAACGTATAACACCTTACACGCCCAGTGACTAGACTCCTCGTATCAGTGGATATTTCACATAACATGACAGGAACTAAAGAATCCTAAGCTAAACTTAAACACAATTGAATTGAGGATATACCATAAACGTTTCCAAAATCTACACAAAGAATAAGAAAATATAAACAGAGACAGACAGAGAAAGGACAAGAACAATGCATGACCTTAAAGCCTGCTGGACTAGGGCCTTCCAGAAAGCCCTCCTCTGATCCCAAACTCTGTTTTGCTCCTTCAGAATCACCATTTCTGATTGCATCACCTCCCAGTTTCACATCAGAAGTGATCAGAACTGTCTTCTCAAAGAAGTCGAGAGGAAATTCAGGCTTTACACCAGCATAGATCTTACTGTTGAGGATGCCAGAACCTAACTTCTTTACTTGCTCAGCTGCCACACTTCCATCACTATCATTTCCACCTGGTGAGTGTACATATATCTGAAGGCTTCCATCATCCTGTAAAACAAGACAATGGATCTTGTCCTTGGACAAAGGCTTGTATGCAGCAAAACCGACTAAATTTGAGGCCGCACTCACAGCATGCCTCAAGCTCTGGGCACTGAGGGTATCAGCTTCCATGGAGACAACAAGTGAAGAATTAGATTTCGTGGATGAGAAGCAAGCGAACAAACTACTACCACTCAATAATTCTCTCCAGCGATGCAAACTAGCTGGCAGCATCCTTCCATGCTGTCCCTCTTCATACACAAAAGATGTCTCAGAAAGACATGATGCATCAGGATTTAGACGACCCATCAAAGTAGTACCGTCGTGATAGGAGATTAGTAGTAATCTGTAGGTAGAAGAGTAGTACAAAGATAAGCCCTTTGCGTCAATTACACGATCCTCAATCTGAATAATTTCTTTCAGTGGTGTTGCTCCAATATTTCCTTCCACAGGCACTTCTAGCCTGAAAACCCTTCCTTTCTCAGAAAGAACAACCAGAAACATTCTCCCTTGAGAAGCCATCAAAAGTGTAGCATCAACAATCATGTCATCAGCCAGTGTGAAGTAGTGCAGAGGACTGATGTTGTCCTGAGAGAGATCATACATTTTGATGAATCTATTAGTCACCACCATTAACTTGACTTGGGAACCTGGAACCCACTCAATCCATCTTATATAAGCACCCTGAAGAGCAAGTTCAATGGCAAGTCTATCCGTTACCTCTCCATGAGGATTCAAAATGAGGACCTGGCAGTCTTCATACCCAGCCACAGCAAGATAATTTTCAGTGACTGAATTGAAGGTAAGTTGTACAATCTCAAAACGGACAACATTTCTTGAAAGGGGCTTGACATTGGTTTTGTCTGCTGTTATTGGGGCAACGGTGGCTTGTCCGATAAGCTGACCAACATCAAATATGGAGACTTTATCACCTTCTCCAACAGCAAGTCTGCCTCGATTACTGACACTGAGCAGAGACTTCAAAAGAGAACCAGTAGCCAAGAGTGATCTAAGATCCTTCGTATTCGAATAGTCTGCCTTTATCTTTAGGTCCAGCGACCCACTTTTATAAGCCTTTTTTAACTGCAACAGCTCAGCCCCAAAGGAAAGCACCTTGTCCTTGCCGAGAATGATTTTCTTATCCTTTGAGAGTTCATATTCTCTTTTAGCCGTTATAGAAGGCAACAATGAAGAGCAAAGCTGTAGTACTTTGGACTCCAAATCAAGTTCGTCAATAAGAAGTGGGATCTTGTCTTGAATCTCTCTTGGAATAGACCACCTAACAGGACTATCTGTGTCCACTGCCAAATCCTCTTCTAGATCAGAATCTGTCTCTGGCAACTGATCTGTAGCATCAGTGAAGGGCAAGAGGGCCTGATAGTGCCCTGTACTACGTACAGGTCCACTGTCATGAGATGTAAATTTTCGAGGCTTCAAGCATTGACAATTGCTACCCCTAACACCACCAGCCCCACAATCACAAAAGAATCTACTTGACCGAGAATAGACAACCCGGTGACCATGGTGACAAACTTTAGCACACACAGAGCAACAGCCTTTTGACACTGTCAGGTCACAAGTATAACAGAAATACCAGTGCTGTTCCATAAAGTTGCTGCCACTGGATGTAAATGTACATACTTTTGAGGCAAGAGCTCTTTCACTATTGATATCATCCTCATCATCTTTATCCACACTAGCTACATCGCCATCAGATGTACCATCATCCTCATCTTCATCAAGAGAGGTTGCATCACACTCTATTGCAGGACTACTCCTTTCCTGATTTGTGGAAAGGACCACAGCATCAGCATTCTTTCTCGATCCTATTGCCTTCAAAAGTGCTGAAGCCTGACCAATACTGCTAAGATGAAAAGAATTTTCTGCAGATTTCTCAAGGGGATTCTTACAGGATCCACAATCACTTAAAACAGTTTCAAGAAAGCCAAAAAGAAATCTCAGTCCTGGAAGCAGACAATCATTACCAGCCAACTTCTCCATCAACAATATTGTCGTCTCAAGAAGCAACTTCATCGATTGCTCTCCTCTGCACAGTTGAATAACCACTTGGAAGAAGGACTTGGCAATATGAACATCAAATAGCGAGAATGCGGTATCAAGTAAATTGAGCAAGGATTCAAACAAATGATGGTGCAGACATTTTGAAGACAATTTACAATATGAGGACACGAGAGCCAAAATGAAACTTGTTGTTGATTCTCGTAGGGAAACAGAACTCCCTTTTCCACATCGTGTCCCTCCAGATATCTCCACAACAGAACCAAGTAGTCGCTTTTCTATCCATCTGGACAAACAAACAGAATCCATTTCAAGGAACTTGGTCTGTATCCTTTGTCTTAGCTCAGAAGAAGATTCTCCAGATAAGAGATCCACGAAGAAATTGAGGACCTTCACATTAACTGCATCAGAAGAACAGTTGTCCAACGAATCAAGCAGAACCAAAAAGTCACCAAACTTCAACCAACTGAACTGCTTGACAAGTTCAAGTCCATCTGATGTGCCAAGAAAGAACTCAACATTTCTTGGTTGTCTCCTCAAGCATTCAGAAACATCAATGGTCCTGGTGATTAGCCATTCAAGTACGCTACTGTCGCTTGATTTTGATGCATTCTGGTGCTTCAGAAAACTCCCCATGTAAGTCAGCAGAAACAGATCACTACCATCTGATAAGGCAAAATCAGGATTAAGGTTACCAAGAACTGTGTCACATCTTCCAGCAAGGCTCTCAAAAATCCGATCAGACTTCACCATCATCACGGAACTAAGAAGCTGTTGGTGCACCTCAGATTCCAAGATAATTTTCCCACTCAAACTTTCAAGTCGAAGCAACTTATCTAAAAAAGTAATAATAGCCTTTATGCTGATAACACAAGAAAGAAGAATGGCACTTGGGGTCCGAAGATCATAAGGAAAACCATGCAATGCACGTTCCCAAAATACTTTGCTCCGAATTCCTAGAGCTGTTTCATCGACCAAAGAATCCACCTTTGTCAAAATGTTAAAAGTGGAGTCCAGACTGCGATAGCTTATTCCACTTTTCCTAACAATCTCATCCATCAGGCATTTTTCGGACTTGGAAAGTTTCAGGAGTAATAGAGGTGATAAGTCCTCAGGATCATATTGGCTACTACTAAGGGTGGCAAGAAATGCCTTTTGGTGAGCCTTCAGATAGATCTTCAACAAGGAGGACAACAAGTCTACCAGCAAATTTCTGCCAATCAAGGATGAAACCAGCTGCTCAGCAACTGTGAGGTAATGTACATCATAGGTTGCATCCTTAACCAAGAATAAACCCACCTCAGTTTCATTTCTCTTGCTTTCATGTCTGCTCAGACCAATATTAACCAAAGAAAGTATAAACGATAGAGACATGCTGCTCCTCAAGAAATCCCAACCTAGTTCCTCAACGTCCTCTGGTATATTCATGGCAGAAATGTGTTGTAGTGCACTGAAAACAGCAGCCTGAAGGTCATCAACAATCCCACTGTCAAGACTGCATCCCATAACAACATTGCTGAAGTGAAAAAAGAAGCCAATATCAGACATGTCTATAGCCCCAGGCTCCCTCCACAGAAGAAGTTGATTGTCTGCCGAGGTCTTCTTCATAGGTACATCGGAACACAGCATGAAGATGTATCTTTCAACCAGCAGGTCTTCTACAGAACTAGTCTTTCTACCTTTCCAGTACCCAAGAATCAGCGAGAATGTATCGCACAGATCATCGCAGTTCAGGGTCAATGATGTGATGGCCAACTTGTCCCTAGAAAGTGAAGGCGGAAGGGCTGAAATATCAACCAATTGATTGATCAAACAGCTGATTGAAGACTCTTCCTCGACAAATGCACCCAATACATTCTTTGCTGCAATTGATGCCCAGGACAATAACTCATCATTTACACCATTAGAAAGTGAATCGCAAAAGGGGACATCCCTCAACTTTGATCTTAAATCTAGAAGCAATGATGATTGTTGAAAGATACTTACTGCTAATGCTTTATTGTAGTTAGCAGTAACAGCTAGCCCTAGTCTAATTGTAGAAAGATTAGATAATAGAATATATTTTAGTTAAGGTACACCTAACCTAGCATATATATTCTCTCACTCTGTAAATCATGAGATATACGGAAAAAGCAGAATTCTCTAAAACCCTACTTTGTTCTTGTTCTCTCCTAAACTTTGATATGGTATCAGAGCTGCCGGTTCTTCCTTACGCTGCTGCCGGCAGTAACCTCGTTCTGTCATGAGCACAGACGAAGATTCACCCGATTCTTCTTCTTCCTCTTCTACTATCCAATCTACCAACTCCAAAATAGAGAGTATGGCCACATCAAACAATGATTCAGGCACAGAATCAAGCTCTGGAGGAATCACCATCAGAAAATTCAATGGGAAGAATTACCTCCAGTGGTCTCAATCTGTCCGGATGTTCATCACTGGGAAGCAAAAGGGGGAATATCTTACTGGTACTGCAACTAGACCAGCAGAATCCGATGCTGCTGCTTACACCAAGTGGAACAACGACGACAACCAAGTCCGGTTCTGGCTTATTTCCACAATGGAACCAGACATCGGAGACAATTACCTACTGCATCAATCTGCCAAAGAGCTATGGGCTGATGTAGAGGAGACATATTCCACACAAGACAACTCTTCTGCCTTGTTCGAAGTAGAGTTAAAACTCTTCAACTTCAAACAAGGGACGATGAGTGCTACAGAATACTACAACCGATTAGTCCGAAGCTGGCTTCAACTTGATTTGTATGAAGCTCAGAAATGGGAAACGACGGCTGATGCAAAAACGTTTCGGATGTTTGTGGAAAAGAAGCGAACAATTCAGTTCCTCCTTGGCCTCAACTAAAATCTGGATGCAGCTAAAAGCAGGATCATGGGAACAAAGCCTTTCCCGAGTTTGAAGGAAGCGTTTGCTGAAGTGTTGAGGGAGGAAGGTCGTCGCCATCTTATGCTTGCAGAGTCAAAGTCCACCTCAGATAACTCGAGCTCTGCCCTAACAACAGAAACAGCCACAGCACTTGTTTCTCAGAATAACCGGGGAAGGGGAAAACCGAGAACCAACTCGGATGCTGCAGCAAAATGGTGCGATTTTTGCAAGCAACAATTTCATACAAAAGATGAATGTTGGGAAATTATCGGCGGACCACCAGGCTGGAAATCTAAGATGGGTCGTCAGAAAGGACGTGCTAATACAGCAACCAGCAAGGGTACAGAGGAAGAAGGTCAATTTTCGAAAGGACAGTTGGAAGCTCTTCAGAAGATGTTCACTCAGGTACTTCAGGCTGAATCAAAACCGAAAGGCTACATAACCCAGTTGTTCGAAAAATCAGGTATTCCTCAAGCTCACACTTCACAGCGGAATTCTAAGAATGTATGGATTCTAGACTCAGGTGCCACAGATAATATGACGGGTTGTAAGGACCTAATACAGAACTTACAGCCCTATCCTAGGAAAACTGGGGTTCGTATTGCTGATGGGACCATTGCTCCTGTTGAAGGATTTGGTATAGTTCGGGTGACTAAGGACTTCACTCTCTGTCCTGTACTCTATGTACCAAAACTTGACTGCAACCTCCTATCTGTTCCACGAGTTACTCATGACCTCCACTGTGAAGCTAAGTTTACCCCCAATGGTTGTGTGTTGCAGGAAGTGGGGATGAAGAGGACGATTGGCAGTGGTGAACTTTATGATGGGCTGTATCTTTTGCGGGGCATGACGGATGTGGAGCATCACTATGGAGACAGTAGTAGTGCACATGTTGTCTCTAGCATAGAGAACAATAAGAATCAAGTTTATTTGTGGCATTGTAGGCTTGGTCATCCTAGTTTTCCTTATCTTGAGAAGTTGTTTCCAACACTGTTTCAGAATAAAAGTTCCAAGGATTTTGAATGTGAAGTGTGTCAACTTGCTAAACATACTCGATCTGTGTATTCGGGAATTGGCTATCGACCTACCACACCGTTCAGTGTTGTGCATAGTGACATATGGGGACCTATGAAAATCAGAAACATCAATGGTGCCAAGTGGTTCATCACCTTCATTGATGATCACACTCGGTTAACTTGGACGTTTTTTATGAAAGAGAAGTCTGAAACTGCTGGTATCTTTCAGAACTTCCATACCATGGTGGCTACTCAGTTTCAAACCCAAATTCAGGTATTGAAAACTGACAATGCTCACGATTATTTCAATAAGACTCTTGGGGTCTTTCTGCAAACACACGGCATTATACATGCTAGTTCTTGCGTCGACACACCTCAGCAAAATGGCATTGCTGAACGCAAGAACAGACATTTGCTCGATGTTGCCCGTGCACTCATGTTTACTCATCACGTCCCTAAGCATCTGTGGGGGGAGGCTGTTCTTACAGCAACTTACCTTATCAACCGGATGCCGAGCAGGGTCTTACAGTTCCAAACCCCTAGACATGTTCTTCTCGACACCTATCCTCACATGAAAAATTACTCTTCCGACCTCCCTCCAAAGGTGTTTGGCTGCACAGTTTTCATCCACAATTCTGCCCCAAATCGGTCTAAGTTGGATCCAAGATCTCACAAAGGGGTCTTTATTGGTTATTCTTCCACACAAAAGGGCTATAAGTGTTTTGTTCCACATACCAGACGGATCTATACGACTCGTGATGTCACATTCTTCGAGTCACAGCCCTTCTTCACCACGGCTATGCCTCAGGGGGAGAGTTCTCATGATTCATCTAGTTCGATTGATGCACAACAGTCTGGGCAGCAGGTTTTTGTTGATCTCATTACCTTGGATACTGACTTTGATGAGCCTCCCACACCAACTCAGGGGGAGCATCTAGTAGTAGAGAAGCCACTACTAGTATATCAAAGAAGGAACAAGGTTCCAAGTACAAATGTGGAAGATGAGACTAATGCCCAAGTGGAAAATGACACTAATGCAGAATTGGAAGATATGGAAGATGATTCTAGTGCAGATCATGATGTGGTGCTAGAGGAACTTGGAGATGATACTACAACAGTAGGAGTGGAAGATATACCTATTGCTCTTAGAAAGGGAGTTCGAAACTGTACTAAGACTCCTAAGTATCCTATTGCTCGACATGTCAACTATGACCGTCTTAGCAAATCCCGCAGAATCTTTGTATCTGCTCTAGAGGAAGAACAGGTGCCAAAGGATATTCATGAAGCAATGAAACATCCTAAATGGAGAGCTGCAGTCATGGAGGAATTAAGGGCATTGGAGGAAAATGCTACTTGGGATATTGTATCCCTTCCTACAGGGAAGAATACTGTTAGCTGCAAATGGATATTCACAATCAAATATAAGGCAGATGGTTCGATTGAGAGATACAAGGCAAGACTAGTTGCACGAGGATTTACTCAAGAACATGGTGTGGACTATGATGAGACCTTTGCACCAGTGGCAAAGCTTAACACAGTAAGGGTACTCCTCTCTCTTGCTGTGAATCTTGATTGGCCATTACATCAACTTGATATTAAAAATGCTTTCCTCAATGGAGACCTTGTTGAAGAAGTTTACATGATGTTTCCTCCTGGAGTGAAAAATCCAGTAAAAGGACAAGTTTGTAGACTCAAGAAGGCTTTGTATGGGTTGAAGCAATCACCACGTGCATGGTTTGACAAGTTCACCAAGGCTGTTAAACAAGGTGGATACTACCAATGTCAAACAGATCACACCCTGTTTGTGAAACACTCATCTACTATGAAGCTTTCAATTTTGATAGTTTACGTGGATGATATCATAATTACTGGGGATGATACAGAAGAAATTGCTAGACTGAAAGCTCAGCTTGCAGAGGAATTTGAAATAAAAGATCTAGGAAATCTGAAATATTTTCTAGGAATGGAGGTGTCGAGATCGCAGCAAGGGATTGTGATCTCTCAACGGAAATATGTGCTCGACTTGCTCAAGGAAGTGGGAATGCTCGGATGTAAGCCGATTGATACACCCATGGAGCAGAACAAAGTGTTGAGTAGGAGTCAAGACATTCCATTAGTGGAGAAGGGAAGCTACCAACGTCTGGTAGGTAAGCTTATATACCTTGCTCACACTCGTCCTGACATTACATTTGCTGTTGGAATTGTGAGTCAACATATGCAATGCCCAAATGAAGAGCATATGCAAATGGTAATCAGAATTCTAAGATACCTTAAGGGTGCCCCAGGAAAAGGAATTCATTTCAAGAAAACGTCTCACAGAAGGATAACAGTGTATACTGATGCTAGCTGGGCTGGAGAGCTCACTGAGAGAAGATCTGTTACTGGTTACTGCAGCTATGTTTGGGGCAATCTAGTTACTTGGCGAAGCAAGAAACAGAAGGTTGTTGCACGAAGTAGTGCAGAGGCAGAATATAGAGCCTTAGCTCTCGGCATGTGTGAGGGCATTTGGATTAAACGAGTTCTAGAGGAATTGAAGATTCCTCATGAAAGCCCTATGAAGCTACTATGTGACAGTCAAGCTGCAATTAGTATAGTTAGGAATCCAGTCCATCATGATCGAACTAAACATGTGGAAGTGGATCGACACTTTATCACTGACAATGTTAACACTGGAATGATTCAGGTGGAATATGTTCCTTCAAAGCAGCAGACTGCAGATGTTTTGACAAAGCCATTATCAAGAGACATGTTCGAGGCTCTAATGGGCAAGCTTGGGTTGATTAACATCTACACCAAGCTTGAGGGGGAGTGTTGAAAGATACTTACTGCTAATGCTTTATTGTAGTTAGCAGTAACAGCTAGCCCTAGTCTAATTGTAGAAAGATTAGATAATAGAATATATTTTAGTTAAGGTAGGTCTCACCTAACCTAGCATATATATTCTCTCACTCTGTAAATCATGAGATATACGGAAAAAGCAGAATTCTCTAAAACCCTACTTTGTTCTTGTTCTCTCCTAAACTTTGATAATGATGGACAAGTATCTGCGTAGAAGACCATATGTCGCAGCAGTAAGACGAATCTTGAAACTAATAATCCCCAGCAGGATAACTGCGGGCAGGAAAAACTATCAGAGGGTCCACCTATTGCTCGAAGGGAAGAAAATATAAAGTCAGCATGCTTGGCCTTCTCTTCCGCAGATGACATATGGAATGCTATTAGGAGAATTTCCATGTGAAAAACTGATGGAAGAGCTTGAAGAAGTTTCCTGAAGTCAGGGCAGTTTGTACAAACAAGTTTTGCCTTATCAGTAATGAAGTCCACAAACACTCCGTACAGTCTGGTTCTCAATCTACCACCATCAGAACCAGCTCTACTAAACACTGTCTGAGCCAACAAGATCAGAGTTCGATCACTGTAAGCAAATGCTCCATTTTCAACAGCTAAAATTTGTTCAACAAGGTTCTCTTCAAGGGAAGCTGACATAGTGCAGTGAGCAAGAAGACTGCATTAAAGCTCAAGACATAGTTTATGGATATTAGCAGTTTTCCCCTCATCTGGCGAAGACGCAAAACCATCAGATGACTTGTATTCTAAACCACACTCCTGACAATTAACGAGAGAGAGCAAGGCCTCTATATGATTGTTTCTTATCGTTTTACAACCTTCCTCATACAGAGTAGGATACTCTTGGGAGAAGATAACATCTTTCAGAACACCCAACAACTCACAGGCTGCTTGCATTGGCAAATTGCAACTATTGGAGAAAGAACTGAGAGCAACTGGCGCCTGATCACACACTTCAACTGATCCTACCGAACGGCCACTTTCAACGAAAAGGTTACCAAAAAGAGCCTCATCCTCGTGGCATGCTGCATTTTCCAGTTCTACTGCACAATTAGCTTTGAGACTGCTGGACTGTGATTTTTCAAATCTTGGCCTGAAGTTCATACCTTCCAGATGAAGGAAGATAATAAGCTGTATTAGATTATCCAGCCACTGAGCCGATGAAGTAAATATAACTTTCATTGCCTCCTCAGTTGTTAAACTCTTCGTCAAAGGAACTTCTTTCAGGCGTAAATGGCATGATGGAGATTTGTTTGGGAAATCTGAAGAGCTTCCAGTGAGATTTCTGTCAAGTTCCATGGAACTATAACTCTGACTGATTGCCCTTCTGACATCTTGCACAATTCTCAACATGAGAACAACAGTTTGAGTTAAATATACTAGAGGTGGCTTTGGACCGACAGCAGACTTGTCACTTTTCCATATAGAAGAGTCCAAGTTGTCTAATATGGAAGCCACAATACACACCTGTATATTTTGAGAAATGCTGTTGTTACCAAATATGGATTGGACTAGATGAAGGAACTCTTCTAGTAGAGATAATACAAGGTTCTCAAAGTCGCTCTCTATAGCACCTTGGTTATCCGCAAATTCAAACCTGTGTCCAAAGACACTAGGTAGAGTATCAGCAAATGAAGCAACCTGCTGCAATAGGTAGGCATCATACTCAACATAAGGATTCTCCTTCACAAGGCTTCTGAGTAACCTTAGAATCCTCAAACTGAAAGACAACCTCTCAGAAAAATTAGCAGCTGCCACCTTCTCACCATGCACATCTGCCCGTTCAATCAGCTTTGTGCAATGAGGAATAAGACGGCGCACAAAACCCACATGAATTAGAGCCCAATGTTGAGATGCATAAATCAAGTGACTCGTAGCATGTATGGGTCCATTGAAACCAGAAGTTTGCCCCTCAGGTTGAAGATATTCAGTCTCTAGTGTCATTAGTAGTAGATCCACCTGTTTCTCCGCCCTCAAACAACTGGACCCTTCTCAGGATGGCAAAGAGGTGAGAAAAGAAAGTAAGAAACCACGTATAACAACAAGACTGACCCACAAAACAAGAACAAGAGACCATTTTTAGAAAGTACCTTGAAGGATGCATTTTATATGGCTATCAAATTGGACATCACAGGGACCACTAGACACAACTGCCAACAATTCTAAAATGCAACTTAGAGGGCAAGACCTGTCAGGGACTTTATCTATTTCTTTCACCAAAGCCAACTCCATGAGTAGTATCAAATTAATCTGCAAAAATAAATTCTAAAAAGTTTGTAAAAAGAGCACAACATTTTATGAAAGAAGTGACACGATCAACCACTCTACGAAGTATAAACATTAATTTACTTAGAGGATTGTCTACAAAAAAATATCTCAAAAGCCCAAATTTTAGTGACAACTAGGAGCAAGACGTAGCAGTCACCATGAAGAGGAGAGAAATAAACAAAATGGGTTAACACTTTCATCCATTTTAGAGTTAACATATGGCTGTACATTGCGCTTTCAACTGAACACCATGATAGCATTACAGTTACCCTGCATCTTCAACTGACTGCAAAGTATTATCTTCTAACTAGCTTTCTTCCCGGCCGTTGGCCGGGTCGGTTGCTTTTTATTATTTATGTTAATTGATTTATTTGGTGAGAATAAAGATGTTTTTTAGGGCCGTAATTTATTGTTTGTGCGATCATACGTGTTGAACCAAAACCTACTGTGCAAGTAGAAATTGTGGCAAACAAATTGTCTGCAATATATTTAAGATACAGATAACATATCTAAAGGCCTAACACTATCTGCTCTTAAATATACAAGTATTTAATAATATATGAAGTTTTAAATGTGTTTGATAAAGGCTGCTAATCCTAAATTCTAATAAATTTTACAGCACAAAAAAACACAGAAAACATTTTGATCAATGTACGAAAGAAGAAATCGGGCATGCATTTGACATCTATAAACTTGATTCAAATGCTGGTCCCCAGTTTATAGAATTCTGAAGAACTAAAATTTTATGCAGCTCAACAGTACAATTCGCTACAGATTCCCTGGTCTCAGTCACGCTTGCAAATGTGCACTTTAGAAGCGCTTTCAACTAGCCTACGCACCAAGTCTTAATGCACCAGTCGGAAACGGAAATATTATATCGAATTAGCCACTGATTATATTCGGCCAATGCTCTCAATTCAAGGCTTCCTAAAGAATAGCTATAGCGTCGCAAAGTAGGGAATCAAGAAACCGAGAAAGAATATAAGAACCAAAATGAAATCCACCAACCTGTACACTTGATTCGTCATTGCAGAATTCTGATTTCTCCAAGTAACAAACGGCGAACTCCAACAATTGTTGCACAACAGCGATCACTACTGGCTCTGCCTGGTTAACAATCCACGCGATCACCACCAAGAATTGAAGAAAGAACACCAATCAGTAACTAGTTAACTACTTGGGAGCTCAAACACAAAATTGGCAGTGCTTTCTTAGCCTAGCCAGAACAACCAAAAGCCTCCATGCAAGAACAACAAACTCCTTGAACTTGAAAGCAAGTACTTCCTGTCTTCAAACAGGGGGGGAAAAGTACCTGAAAAAGATATAGAAGCAGAGACGATCGCGAGGCCGAACGAGACGACGGACTGAATCTGTGAATCGGTCCATAACTGGAACCCTAACTTCTTATCCTCGACACTCTCGCCATCATCGTGCGCTTCTTCTTCGACGACGACGGAGACACCCCGCTTGAGAGTCAAGTAGAAGTGCTGGAGGGCGAGGGCGATGGCGATGGAAGTGTCCGAGCGGAGGGAGTGCAGGAACTCGGAGGACGAGCTGCTGGATTCGAAGAGACATCGGTGGAGTTTGGTCAAGTGGCCTTCCATTATCGGCCAGGCGAAAGCAAGGATTGAGGAATTTTGGGATCAGAACATGAATTCCTTGCGTCGGAGTTAGACACACACTCATGACTCATCAGTTAGGAAGGCGGTGAGGGGGAAACGAGAAAAGTGATTCGGAGCAATTTGGGACAATTGCAAGTGACGTGCACCAAATTTAGGGTCGTGACAAGTCAATCACTCAACTTTGTTTCTTATTGCAGTGTACCAACTTTTGGAATAATTACAAATCATCGAAATTTTCGACTAAATTGGACCCCATATTAACAACCCCGAACTTTTTACCATAGAAATGAAAATAGAAATTAGTCAAACAATTAACAACCCTGAACTCCCTTGAATAGTTGCATCCTTAACAGAAAGTTATAGAAGTCCATGTACAAAGTCGAAAGAAGCTAACTCTGGACTCGTGCGTAACTACAACTATCCCGATCAAATGGTAAGTGCAACCTCTAATCTGGTGTAGTATAGAGTAAGTATTTTGAATATCAACTCAGTCGGCTGCTCTATCCTTACTTCAATGAACTACACGTTATCTAGCAATCTAATTATTATTTCAACTACTAAAACTAAACAAGCACGAAAGTAAATTAAATTAAATACAACTGAGAAAAGCTTCGCGTGAATGTGTTTCCCCCTATTCTACGATAAATTAACGTTGTGACACCCCAATTCAATTCACACTAGCATATACTGTGGTGAGCTCTAATCTAGATAGGACTCACGTTCGAGTAATCTTATCCCACTCAATTACACTACCCAGAGAGGTGTACCTACAACCGACCTAGGTAATTGAGGCAACCACAACTGCTTTCACAATAGGATAAAAACCCGATACGACACAAAGGATCTAATCACACTCGTTCATAGAACCCAAGTGTTGAATAGGCAATGCTCTAAATCAACAATAACGGATACTCTCACCTAGTTCAATTAGCTCCAAATTGAGGGAATTATGACGAACAACCAATTTTCATGAATATATAATACCCAACTCAATATATAATCAAGATGCAAGTCAACACATAGGTTAAAAAACAATCAATTACAATATATTAATTAGGGTTCTACAACACCAAATTGAATTGAAGGAAAATTTCATAGCTAGAGTGAGAAAAACAATTAAAATGGAGAAGACAATCATCATGAGAAGAAGATCATGCTTCTTGCTAATCTTGATGCTCTTTGTAGTGAAATCAATCCTCCAATGGTAGTGGAAAGCTCCAAATCTCCTCCAAACTCTCTACGCTCATCACTCTATCTAGGATGCAAGAAGAACTCTAATTTCTCTCTCAAAAACCAACTCTCTCCCAAATATGATTTTTGCATGAACTTTGCATCAAAACTGTGAGGTGACTGGATGCATGTTGTTTCAATAACAAAGTTCACGTTCTAGGTGAAATCCTCACGTCATAAGACCGTGAGGTTTGTAACCTCCCATGAGCCATCCTGTTCCTCCTGGGTCTTCTGCGAAGTTCACAGTTTTGTTGGAAATGTCACACCTTGGCCATGAAGAAATGCTATGGATCATGAGTTTTAACACTTCTCACCATTTTGTCATGTTTTGACTCCCTTTTGTGAGACTTTCATTAATCTCGCCAATTTCATTTGCTAGAACGTGAAATATACTCAAACATGCAAAAAAAAAAAAAAACTAGCGTAAAATGACTCCAAGGATGTTGCAACACAAGTCAAACGACAAAGAGAAATGAGTATAAATGTTTATAATTTGACTCGAGACAATTCGTGGAACGGCCCTGAAATGTAATTCTACAGAAGGAGGAAGACAATTAAAGACAATAACGAAGAATCGACCCAACCTAGGATCCGAATGCACCCCTCTGCTGAAGCTGGTGAATGAAAGACCTCAAAGTCACCTTCTGTAATCATCTTGGAAATTTGCGTGTTGATCACGAGATAGAAATGTATCACGTGCCACTAGGAGCTCAACGAAGTACTTGTCCAAAATACCTTGGTGATATGCCGAGGCTAGACAAAAGTGCACATATGAAGATTGGATAACCAAACTAGAGTAAATACGAGCATCTTAGTGAATAACTGCGTTGAAATTGAACTTGAGAAAGTCGAATAGGACAACGATTCACACGTTTCCTTTTTTTTTTCTTACAAATCGAATGGACTTATGGCCTGCAGAGTTGATGGGCCATATTGAAGCCCAACTAGTCTCTTTGCATTCTCTCGTAGCCCAACACCCTTAAACAGATAATCCGGTTTACCTACCCCTCCAATCTCCATCGTTAGTCGGCCAGTCGCCACCGGTCACCGTCGACTGAATGTCGACGCTAAATATGGGAGAATCCCAAAATTGGGAACCCGCGCGAGGCGCGAACCACGCGTAGAAGCAAAAAAGAAAGTTTTTTTTTTTTGTTGGGTTTCCGATCAAACGCGGAGGAGCCATGATTAAGCAAAGCAATAAACAAATACAACAATTTCACCGGCGTAGTCAGGGATGACGTTGCTGAATGCTGACTGTGATGATTGCGGTGAATCCAAGTCAAACCGGCCGCGGCCAGCTTCCTCGTTCCCATCTCCTCTCCTATAAATAAATTGTGTCGACGGGAGATCGTATTGAAAGAACCAGCCTTCGATCTTCCCTCAACCCAATTGATATCATCAATCGTCATCTTGCAGAGCTTGGCATCTGAACACCCACCAAAAAGAGAATAAGCAATGGCAATAGCCGAGACATTCTTCATATCGCACGGCTCCCCGACGCTGTCCATCGACGACTCTCTGCCGGCCAGGCATTTCTTGAAATCCTGGGAGCAGAAGGTATACCAAAAGGAGAAGCCCAAGGCGATCCTCGTCATCTCCGGCCACTGGGACACCAAGCTCCCTTCGGTCAACGTCGTTGATCGCAACGACACCATTCACGACTTCTATGGCTTCCCCAAACAGATGTATCAGGTAACTATCCCCTTCTCTCTCTTGCAATCCCTTTGATCCCTCGTCGCCGAGAATTGGTCTGTGATCGTGAGAAATACTCAATTGTGTGCAATCTTAGGCTTAAGAGTAGGGTATGTGAGGGTATAGTGTAGATTAGAGGCTGGTGTGGAGGCTCTGTGTTTGAAACTTTGTTTTGATGGGTTTATGGCATCAAATTCATTTCATTGTGATGAACTGAGTCTTGATCGTAGTTTAACCTTAACCAGTTAGTCTTTGGAATGAAGGTTCTGAATCATTATGAACCTGGATAGAAGTTTGCTTATACTCGGCAAGAAAATGGTAAAAGCTTTGAAATTTCTGTCAATTTGATTCTGGTAATGTACTTTGGATGTTGGATTACCAGCTGAGGTACACGCCACCAGGAGCACCCAGATTGGCAAAGAGGGTAAAGGAGCTGCTGATGGGATCTGGGTTTGATGAAGTAGTGGAAGACAAGAAAAGAGGAGTGGATCATGGAGCTTGGGTGCCATTGATGCTCATGTATCCAGAGGCTGATATTCCAGTGTGTCAATTATCTGTTCAGTCTGACAGAGACGGAACGTATCACTACAACATGGGCAAGGCCTTGGCTCCATTGAGACAGGAAGGGGTGCTCATCATTGGCTCTGGTTCTGCTACTCACAATTTGAGAGCTATGGACCGTGCAGGTAGCTCCGTCACTCCCTGGGCTCAGCAGTTTGATACTTGGCTTAAGGACTCCCTCGTCGAAGGAAGGTAAAATCCGGAACAGCGATTGAACTTTGACAGTCGTTTGCTGCACTTTCTTGATGGAATATGTTTGAACTTCCATATTCATTGTGGGTTTTGCAGATATGAAGATGTGAATCACTACGAGGTTAAAGCACCACACGGGAAGAAGGCTCATCCATGGCCAGACCACTTCTTTCCTCTTCATGTTGCAATGGGAGCTGCTGGTGACAACTCCAAGGCCAAGCTTATCCACCAGAGCTGGACTCATGGCACTCTTTCATATTCCTCTTACCAGTTTACAGCAGCAGACTAGTGACTAGTCAGTCCTCTCTTGCTTGCTTGGTTTATGTTTGTTTGGCCAATTTGTATAATGTTACCTTGGAATCTTGTGAAATCTGTGTGTAAACTCTAGTCCATTTGTTCGTGTGAATGGATCTATAGCAACTTTTCTTCCTTCTTTACCCATAGACATAAATTGTGAGAGGTCCAAACGTTTGAGTTTCGATTGTGAAGTCCTCTTTGTAAAGTAAAGCAGCTTGTTGTAATGACACTTTTGGTTTCACAGATGACATTTGTTCAATAAAGATTAAAACTTCATAGCTCACTAGCATTTTCCAGCACATGTTTGGAAGAAAAGAAGAGAATATGCCCTTTGCTACTGCTAGGCTTTCTCAACTAACAGAGGATTGAGCAGAGCTCCAAGAAACAAAACCGAACCAGAATTCTCCTCCACAATCGTGAACACGAAAGGATGATCAGCAACAAAGCTCGGAGGAGCCGCCGACCTACAACGAAGTCCTCTAATCCTCCCTGCACTACAACCTGCAGCTTCAGCTCCTTCCTCATTCACTTCAATCACCGTCTTGTGAAACACCTTCGACAGGACTACTGGTTCATCCGCTATCTCCAACATTCCGTTCAACCATACATATCACTGAAGGGCAGTACCAATCCAAGCTCCATCATACTACTCGAAGCCTCAACCTCAAACTCGAACTTGAACCGGGGGATCCAAACAGGCGAAACGACCCTCTCTGCCACTTGTGGGTTCAGCATCACGGGTTCTGCTCTGATCCAATCCAACAAACCAGCCAGCCCGTCTCTGGCGTTGGGCAGGAAGAAGCACATGGAGAATCAGCGGGTGTCATGGTGTGGTCCGGTTCTGTATGTGATCTTCAGCACCTGATGGTCGTTTGTGGACGCGTAGAGGTGTTTCTGGTTGGCGTCGGTGGTCATGAAAGGGACTTGGATGGTGTCGCCGCCGGTTAGGGTGTGGAAGTCTCTGTGATGTGTCTTGGAAATGTCGAATGGGATGCTCCATGTTCCTTTGAAGTAGAGTGCGTTTGTGAGTATCAGAATTGTCTCTTTGTCTATACCATCTGGTGGTAAGAGGTTTCTGATTAGTGCTCTGCTTTCTTTCTCTGCCCATGTGTTGATCTCTTCTCCTGCTTGATCCGGCTAAGCCATCATGAACAAGGGAACACAGTGCACAAAGGCGTGAATAGAACCTCTTTATGTACATGGTAAGAACTTAGAACTTACAAGTCCGTTACCTTGTCGAGAAAGTCAACTTCTTTTGCCGTCGCACGATAGAAACTTCTCACAGTTTGCTCAAATGGAGCTTTCAACTTGAAACGATGATCCAGCCAAGCCCCATTGACAAACGATACGATCTGGCCATGACCGGTTTCGTCGTCGTCATTTCTGGGAGGTGGCAGTACTGAGGAAACAAGATGGGAAGCCAAGAAGTTGAGTTCATCAACACCATCGACCCCCATGAAGGCAAGCATCTGTTTGAGAGTAGGGCCTTCTGAGCCCAGAGCAATGAGGCTTAACATGGAGTGAAACGAAAGCGGTGAGAAAGCGAAGTTGGATCTTCCTCCCTTCTCTGCTTCTAGTTTGTTCATCAACATTCTCTGCTGCTAGTTTGTTCATCAACACGAAAAGTCCGACGAGGACTGAACAAGGGTTGATGTCGAATTTGGTGATGCGCGGGCTCAATTGATGCTCCATTGTTTGGTTCCAAAGGAAAAATTAGCAGGTGATGGGAGAAGGATTTTTGCCCTTCTCTTAAGGTAAGTAATCGGACCTTCCTATGCAAGTTTGCAAATAAAATATTGTACAACCAGTTTAGGGAGACAAACAACTGAGAAAATCCAAATCCAGGTCGTTTTCGATTTTAGGCAATTAATGAAAAGACAGCAGATATCCAACGCCACTTGCGTCAAGATGCAAGTGCATAATCGAATGGTTGCATTAGCTAACATTGGCCCGTGAAGGGGTTGTGATGTAGCAATTGATACAGCGACATGGACATTCTTTTTCAACTCACCCGTGACCAGTTGAGTAGGTGCAGAAAGAAGAGACCGAATTTCCCATCGATCTCAACCCATCACAAAAACTGGCCTGATCCTTAATCCTCATATCATCCTGAAGAAGAACGGATTTAACTTCATTATCATACTGTTGCCTCACATGCATTGATGGCTGTTGCGATGATGCAAAAAAATCATGTTTAGAGCAGCAGGCAGGAGCTTATAATGTGCAACAGTGACAAGTGTAATTCAACATCAACAGCATATCAACTCAACTCATCTCGACTCAGAGTGTATGTGTAGTACGGTTCTTAACGAAACAACACCAATGCGCCCTGAAACAAGAAGTTGAAAATTCGTAGTATCAACTAAGAATTAGCTGTTATATCTCGAAGGACTTACTATTCATCTTTCCTCATGATTCGTTGTTTTTTACTTCTTTCACACATAGCTCTGAACTGATCTGCAGCAGTGGACAGAGGAGGGTGCGCGCTGTATAGTTTGGATTTCCAACCCATACTGTCATACATATCCACACCAGAATCAAACTTTGTTTGTTTCTCTGTAGCGTATGATAAGTGTTTCTATCTTGAAAATCTCAACCTCAAACAAACAAGTTCAGCTTGTCCAAGATTTCAAAAGCCAGAGTTCAACAAATAAGCCGAGAGAGAGAGAGAGAGAGAGAGAGAGAGAGAGAGAGAGAGAGAGAGAGAGAGAGAGGCAGCTGGGCTTGGCTTTTGTCCTGCAGCAGCAGCACACATGAAATTTGTGGCCTATCTAACTTCTCGTGAACCAGCAAACGAGTCCCAACCACATTCCCTTTCACTCTCTACCAGCATAGGGGAATTATACACCAATTCTCCCTAATCAATGTTTGTTACTGTACTACCATCTCAACAGACATAGAATATTATCATACGTCTCCCATTTCGGACAGACGTCCCTTGCCATATACACACGTTGGTGCGAGACTAGCAATCGAATGGTCGGTTCATATACGTTCTGAATGTCCATAAAGCAAGAGACTAGTACATCTTAGCCGCCGCGAATTGTCATATTTTCCATCCATCCAACCATATAATTTTTTCACCTTGTGGAGGGAAGTAGGAAATCATTATTGGCCTCACTTGCAGCTGCTGGTATTTGTAGATGACTGGTTTTTTCACATGAATCACATCAATAGCATTCCCTACGCAGAAACCACTATATAAACCCTCCAAAGTTAGGACTCCAAACTCTCACCTGCAATCCCAGAAACCAGGCGCCAAACCCATGAGCTCCCCAAAACACCTAATCCTCCACCATATATAACAAACCCTTGATCATTCTACCTCCATAATGGCTGCAAAAATGTCCTCCAGGCTAATCACTTCACTCTTCTCCTTCCTTACCCTCACATTCACTACCCTCAGTCATACATCAGAAGCCAGGCATTTCCCCCAAAAACCCACAAAGGCAGTAGTCGTCGGCACTGTCTACTGTGACACTTGCTTCAACAACCGCTTCTCAAAGCCCACTCATTTCATCTCAGGTAATTAAAGTTTCCTCCTTTTTTTTTTCCTTCTGACTACAGGCCTTTAGCGGAAGCTGTAACTAATTCTCTTGCACCATTTTCAGGCGCATCAGTTGTAGTCGAATGCAGAGACGGGAGGTTCAGAAGACAAGTGAAGACGAACCAGCTGGGAGAATTCAGCGTCGAGCTTCCATTCACTGTAAACAGAGAGGTGAAGAAAATCAAGAGATGTTCAGTGAAGCTACTGACCAGCAGCGACCCTTACTGCGCCGTGGCATCCACCGCCACGTCATCATCACTCCACCTGAAGTCGAGGAACAGCAAGCTAGGGTCTCATTCTCATATCTACTCCGCCGGTTACTTCACTTTCAAGCCATCCCACCAGCCAACACTCTGTTCCCAGAATCCGACCACCACCGCAGCCGCAGGGAGCAACGAACAAAAGGACTTATCTGGGTTCCCGTTGCTGCCGTCTCCAGGCGGCGGCGGCAACGACGATGACGAACCCACGCTTCCACCGCCGGTGAATACAAACCCTAACGGCGGAGTACCTCCGCCGGAGATGAATCAGAACCGGCTCCCGCCGCTTCCCCTGCTCCCGCGGCTGCCTTCCCTGCCGCCGCTACCTCCGCTCCCCACGCTGCCACGGCTGCCGTACCTTCCGCCGTGGCCGGGGAAGAGCTTCAACAAGCACGAGAAGCCTTCTCTGAGGCAGGGAGAAGGGGAAAGGGAAGGGGATGAATTGTCGGATCAGAAATCGGGGCGTCCTGGTCAGCCACAAGGGTTTTTGTTTCCCCCAATTTTGCCGCCAAATCCGCTGCAGCCGCCGTCGCTTCCTCTGCCGCCGAACCCGTTGGAGCCGCCGTCATTGGTGCCGCCGATTCTTCCTCCGAACCCACTTCAGCCTCCGCCGGCGCCGTTCCTTCCCATTCCTCCGATCCCAGGGCTAACCCCTTCGCCGCCGCCGGTCTTGCCGTTCCCTTTCCCGCCTCCTGGGTTTCCTGTAATCCCTCCTGCAGCTGATGCCGCTCAGAAATCCAAGTCGAGATCTCCCTCCACCATTGATCCTTGAATTAGCTGTGTAAAGTTCATCCTGTTTTCGTAGTAAGCATTATTCGTATTATGCATTTAGTTCTGTAAGCTATAAATAAACATGTGTTTGTGATCAGTTGTCACTTGTTAATGTCATATCGGCAGGTTTCAAATAAATTGGTATGATTTGAAGTTGTGCTACAGAATGTATTTTTTTGTTCCAAAGTAGAGATTCTGCAACGAAAAACTCTCATTTTGAAGGATATATACAATGTATTTAACTACATGTGATTCGTAACATTATAAAAAGGTGGATCGATACTAAATAATACATGTACTTGACAAACCAACCCTCTAAACTTATAATAAGTCATTGCATCTGTTCATGTGTTCTCTAAACGAGATCTACAATTCTGTTCATTCAACTATCAGAACCAAAAATTCATACCTGATATAAACCAAACTCGACATGAAAAACGCATTGTTCTCTGACTTACAGTAATATCCTCTGCCTATTTTTATCAATAATCTACTAGAATTACCTGACCAGCCGCCTTTTGTCTGATTGAATTGTTTTCTCATCTCCATCTATGTCCAGCTGGGTAAATGCCACATTTGATCACTGGAATTACTAAATCGTGTTATGTTTAGTCACTAGAAAAAATTAATATAAATTTTGATCACTCGAATTACTGAAACATGTCACATTTAGTCACTCTTCCATTAGCCTCCGTCCAACTCCGGTCACTCGAATTTTTTTTTTTATGAATGTCATTCGAATTACTGACTCCATCATGTCACATTTAGTCACTCTCCGTTAGCCTCCGGAGTTAACTAACGGGAGAGTGACTAAATGTGACATGTTACAGTAATTCGAGTGACCAAAATTGATATTAATTTTTTCTAGTGACTAAACATGACATGATTTAGTAATATCATTGACCAAATGTAGCATTTACCCATGTCCAGCTGGATTATTTTAATTTGCTGCAAATGCCACGAATATTATCCTTAATCATGCCTATATTACATTGAAACCATCGATGCCCCTATATTACTACCATTCTTGTTCTACATTATCAACTCAGGCAACAAACGAATTCGTCGTTCTCCCAATTAACTTAACATAGCAAGTAGGAAGACAACAGGCAATCATGGCGCAGCAGCAAGCAACAGATGAAAACATCAGTAGTTATAGTAGCTGCAACATTAATGGCTTTTCTTTAGATGCAGCCCTCAACATCATGCTCAAAGAAACCTGCAGCAAAGGTTCAAACTTTGTCTTCTCCCCTTTCTCATTCCATTCCATGCCCTGCCTGATCGCTGCAGGGGCCAAAGGGTTTGCACTGGAACAGTTGCTCCAGATTCTGGGATACAAAAGCTTGGAAGAAGTCAGTTCATCTATGGCATCTAGGACAGTGCTGCCGATGCTATCGACGGTGAACAACGAGAGAGGAGATGTCGTCGCCAGTGGCCCGATCGTCTCGTTCGTTAACAGTGCTTGGGTGGATCGAAGGTTCGAGCTCAAGCCTTCATTTGAAGAACTTGCCAAGCAAGTTTACTGTGCCACTGTCAAACAAGTCTAACTTCGTCTGCAAGGTGAATTGTCTCAACTTGATACCTTGTTTATCAAGCAACATATACATGTACAAATTGTCGGTCTGTCCGTCATGATTCCTCTTGTGGTGTGAAGGCAAGAGAAGTAGAAGATGAGATCAATTCGTGGGTAGAGAAGGCGACGGAAAGGCTCGTCAGAAGCCTCCTACCACAAGGAAGCCTCGAAGGCGATACCGCACTATTGCTAGCAAACGCACTCTACTTCAAAGGCCAATGGGACAGGAAATTCGACCCAGCAAGAACACAAGTCAGAAGCTTTCACCTCCTCAACTCTCCAGAAACCGTGGCAGTTCCGTTCATGACCACCAAACCATACCAAAAGCATCTTTACAGATCGTTCGACGGCTACAAGGTCCTGAAAATCCCCTACCAGAACCGTGAACCTGAAATCGGAGACAACAGTGTGCGGTTCTCGATGCATTTCTTCCTCTCGAATGAAACAGACGGCTTGCCAGCTCTCATACACAAAATCAGAGCCAACCCTGCGATGTTGAGCGACTACTCTGATCAGCTGAAGCTGGAAAATTTGCCGTGAGGTGGAAGCTAAGGAGGCCCTAGAGGAACTGGGGATGGGTTTCAATGCAGGGGAGCTAACGGAGATGGTGGATTGTGGGGTAGCAGGGGATAAGCTATTACTGTCAGAAGATGTTTCACAAGGCGTTTGTTGAAGTGAACGAGGAAGGGACGGAAGCTGCAGCAAGCACTGCGCCGAGATTTATTAGGCAGTGTGGGAGGAGGAACCCTCCTAGCTTTGTGGCTGATCATGCTTTCATGTTCACTATCGTGGAGGAAAGGTCAGGGATTGTGCTGTTCCTTGGAGCTGTGGTTAACCCTAGCCCGCTGTCTGATGAAGAGTGTGGCACATTGATGCACATGGACAAGAAGCCTCGATGCCAGTAAATCGTAGTCGTCAAATTAGTAGCTTCTTTTTTTAGTTTGGGATGGCAGTCTTGTTGTATTGAATGAATGAACATTGGGAGCTATGATCATATGAGAGATGGGCAAGGTCTCCCTTGAATCGTAGGGTTTACGATGAAAAACTGTTATGAACATGTAAACGGAAAAACATCTCTTGATAGTTGATACCAGGCTATATATTGGAATCCAAATAGAAAGTGTTAAGTTGCCAAGGCACTCATCAAAACAGGTATTAAATTAACCTTCAAGAACTCATTCATATCATACCAACTAAGTATTTGCCCAAGTTCAGAATATACACATCATCTTCAACAAAGTACCATCCTATACAGAGCAGTAATGTAGTCAAAGTTGGTTAGGGAAACCACAACAGTTGTAGAAACTCGGTGGCAAGAACATTCAAGAAAATACCAGTCACCTATTACGGTATTACCTATTACAACAGTCGACCCTTCAAAAAAATCTCCTTATGGACAGCAAAGTGGTAAGAAACAAAACCTGAACGCCTCACCAAGCACAGAGAAGGTATGTAACAGTTGACGATGCTGTTCTGTCAAGCTACTTATTCACGAAGAGCACTCCATATCATGATAACGTAAGAAGTTGCTTGACGTGATTAATCCAGCTAGCGACGTTTTTCCCATCAACAGCAACCCAATCAACGACTGTGGATGCTGGTTGTTCCCACCACTCGTCAAGCTGCATTACAATGTCAGGTGTTAAGTTTATGCAGAATTAAACTTATACGGAGAAGAAATAATTCATGAAACTTAACATGTTAGAAGAGGACAGTTCAGAAATAAGGCAGTGGGCTGATGGCTCGTTTCACTTTGGCAGCAAATTGGGCTGGGAAGCTAGTTTTACTAAATACAAGCAGATGCTCTACAGTTTTAGAACTAAGCCTTTTCGAAATTGAAGTTCTCCTTGCTTATGTGAGAATTTCACAATTTTATTATGCGACTGAGAGTCTCTGGACTTTTGAATGATCATTTACACACGCTTCACACAAAAACCTAGTTTGGGAAGTTGCAATAGCATCCCAGAGAAAGCAACAACAACAAAAAAAAAAAAAAAAAAAAACTATGAATGCTCCTCAAGCCATGCAGGTTCTATGAATGACAGAAAACATAGCAAAGATCAAATACAGGGAGTTCATAAAGTCACACAATCGAGATAATTACTCACCAAACCTCTAACGTATTTGCAATCTTCCAGACACTTTTGAGCCTCAAAACTAGCAGCTTTAAGCTCAGGAAGCCACTTCTCCTTGACAATCTTCTCCTGCTCGGAAGCTAAACTCAAACAATAGTTTGTTGTCCTGCATAACGTTTCAGACAATGAGAACAAATAATTAAATGCCTGGAAATTCGCAAAAACAGAAAAAAGTTTTAACTGAATAGTCCCAGATTGGAGTTTAGGAAACTAGAGCATGCAAGAGTATTTAATCATCAAGAGATGTGACTACATCAAATTTCCATAAAAATCAACTAGCAATTATTTAACTCTACCTTTCATAATCTTGTTGAGCTCGATATGCATGGTTCAAAAGTGCATGACCACTTTCAACAAGATCCTGTCTTATGTGGACCATGTTGATTGCCTTTGCCAAGTCTTCTAGAACACTAGCCTCAGAACCACGTAGATTCAGACAGAACTCCAAGGACTCTAACACTGATGCTAGACCAGTATCCGAACCCTCCAAACCTTGTAGCAAATAACAATTGGATTTGCCAATATTCAGGCAAAAGGTCACATGAAAAGTTCAAGTCGGATTGGTTTCAAATGTTATGCACCTATCTCATTTTATCGAACAGACCTTTTATATTCAAAAAATTAAACTCCTAGGTGTAAATAGAATAAAACAAAACTCTAACAGGGAAATGTTCATGGACGCACAAATGAAAAAACCAATATTGACTACCAATAATCATTTGTTAAATATTGTTGCTGGAATAACACCTATATCAACACTTTAGGGTCATTGTCAAGTTGTGAATTGGCATTAAGAAAGTCCTGGCTCAGCAACTTGCAATAGTAAGTAAATTTCCCCACAAGCAGCCTTCATACTTTCTAGTCCATGTGTTAGAGCAGGCACTAACTGTCAGATGATTGAAAATGAAACTGGTGGGGGGGGGGGGGGGGGGGGGGGGGGGGGAGGATTTTCAGGACCTTTAAATATTAAGTTATTAACAAAAGTGTAGGATACCAGCAACCAGTTCAACTAAAACAAGGTTATGAAACCATTTGCATGAAATCATGAAGACTAACAGAGATCAGAGATGCAATAGCATACTGCAGTAAGTAGCTCTTAATACCATGATGGCGCAGATACTGTCAAGACTAGTCTCTTGCAGTTGCTTAAGATTCTAAATTGAGCATCTGGTCACACAGGTTCATTGATAATGAAAAACTTACCAGCAGGATATTGGAGAGCAGCAGATATACGGCATATGGATGGAATTGCTGATGGATCCCTAGCACCAGCTCTTGCTGTCAGCAGAGCAGCATTCTTCTCTACAGCAGCAGTAGCTTCAGGTCCTGTAGATCCTGTGGAACCCATTGATTCCAGAAGTGCCTGATAAAAAATAAAGGACAATAATGAGTGTCAACGAAGAATCTGTGCTAGATCAACTACCTGGAACATAAGACCCTGGCAGCTAACAACTAGGAGAATAAAATATAACAGGCAACCCATTCATGAATAAAAGATAAATAAGATAGAGACAACAGATGAGAATGAGATGCATGCCTACTGTTGAGTGTTGACAATGGTTTGACCTTGTTAAAAACACACACCATATCAGTTCCTAATCTTTGTCACACAGGAAAATGGTGTTTTGAAGATTCAAGTGACAACACTTCATCCTTAGAAAAGTAAAATAAGAACGAAACTGCTAAAGCATATCAAATTACACATTTAGAACTGCGCGGAGACAGACAAGAACCACTTATCTCAGAAAGAAGCACTTTATTGCTAACAGTTGACCATTCTGCAAGAGTCATACTAACCTGTGGAGTAGAAGGCAGCATATAAAGGCTATTATCAGGACTCCTAGAGAAAGCTTTAACTTCATTATCAATAAGATCTTTTGCAGCGTTCGCGATGTGCAACACAACTGTGCAGGATGGAATAATAGTGGTTGATGCATACTCCCGTGCAGCCAACGGCTGCTGATTCCAGAATGTGGCTGCATCCTATATGCAAAACAAATAAGTTAGCATGACAAATTATAGTTTCGTTAGTAGAAATTATATAAGAAAACGAACAATGAGGAAATTCACGAGCCTCATGTGCCTACAAGCTCCAAAAGGAGCTACAGCTTACAAGTGTAATCTTAACATATGCCCGAGTGGAAACATGGTATCTTTTTATGCAACAGTAGTCTCTAGCTACAAGACTCTGCTATGCAATTAAACATGGATTCAAAGTTTGATTGCTGACTGTGTCATTGATCCCTAAGTTGATTCAGGACTCATTTTGTTAACCTTGAGAGTAAGCTACAAACATCTGTGCTTGTATGATTCTTTTACCAATAATCAGCACTGTAGAGAGCGAGCAAAGGAAACTAGATTAACAAGAGATGTGCTTGTCTCTTGATAAGTACAAATCAATTCCTGGTGTCAAACCTAGAACAACAATCTAGAGAAATCCATAGAGAAGATGACTTTTACATCCTTGCTGCCACGTCTCAAAAGAGCATATGAGAATAATTTGTATATTATAGTGCATATGCTCTTCTCTTTCTAAACTTAATGCAAGACTCGGCAAAAGTCCAGCATGAAATAAGGTTGATGATTCAACTCAACCCAGTAATGATGCCATTGGTTTGTTGCAACCCCCAAAAGACTATAATATAAACAATTCCATAAATTTTGACGAATTTCTTTATTTTTGTCTTTCAGCCCGGTTATACGCAATAATCAATTCCCAAATTCTATTGGTGCAGTATCATACCTGGTTGGCCTTCAGTAAAGCAGTGTAAACAGTTTCAAGTTCAGATCTCCGCGCATCAAACTCTTCAATCTTCTTCCATTTCTTTCTTAAAGAATCTTCAGCTTCTCTCCTCTCCGCACAAAGCTTATTTAAGCGCTGGATTTCAGACATCAGTATGTTCAAACTTGCCCTTAATCCTGCAGCCTCTCTCTCCTTGGCCCAAACCTCCAACTACATAAGCAATGGACAAGTCAGCTAATCACATTATGACGACATGTAGGTTGGAGTTTCAGCTGAGAATGAGGAAGTCAGTGGAGGAGCAACTGTTTACAGGGATACACGAGAGAGTTGAAGTTGGTAAAGCAATCATGGAGTATCTATGAATGTTCAAATCATGGGTAGCATCCAAAATGATGAACTAATGAACTACCTCAAATTGTCGGAGACTGCCAAGGCTCTGTGATGTACCAGTAACAGTAAGTGCATGTGTAGAACTCAGATTGCCGCTCCCATGCAATTGCTTTATAAGACTATGACACAAGTCCCTAGCCTTGGCAGCTTTGTTCAGTGAATCTTCAGTAGCCAGAAATAGCTGAACATGAGCTTTCTGCAAACAGAAAATTGAAGCATAAACTCCATATCAACAACATCAAAGAACTAGTGAAACAACATTTGGATGATTTTAGAATATATTCAGATAAAAAATAGCAAATTGACTTGAAAATTAAAATGGAATCATATCCCAAAGGAAGCATAACTTGGAATCATGAGGATTTGCCAACAAGAAGTTCAAGAACCCAATTACTGAAAATTCAAATGATATTTACGTAAATGACAATTATCTATGATACCTGTCTTTCAAGGAGTTGATTTTGAGTTCCTCCAGAAGGAATATCTGTTCCAAACTTCCCATTTTCATGCAGTTGATAATGTAATGGAGACCTGGCATCAGGAGAAGACGCCTCCAGTACTCTGTTGTTCTCATACTTGTATCTAACAAACAAACTGAAGTGTCAGTTATCTTATTGAAGGCATACAATCAATGAAGATAGCCCACTAAAATTTGTAGTTACCTAGACCAGCCAGTATAAGAGAGAGATAAAAGAAACCTTCAGCACAAGCCAATGGCACTAAGTTTTTAGAGAACACAGATCCTAAACCCAACTGCCTAAGAGGCAATCATATACAGAATTCTTCACCGAGACAGCAAAATTTTGTATAGAGGGAAGTGGAGTAGAAAGAATGCATTGATTTTGGTAATTTTATTACTGCAGCAAGTACCAGTAAGAACAAACATGATCCCAAGTTATACCTTAAAGTTTCTGCATCAGCTCTGACATCAATTTTCTCAATTTCCCTAGAAATCATAGATTTTAGTCGCGATGTGTATAGGGTGATTGCGTTGAGTAATTGAGGAGGATTCTTCAAACAATGCACAATGATGGTTCTAACTTCATCAGGTAACTCCCCGTCAAAATCGATACCCAGTTTTGCAGCTTCCAGTTGAGGAGATGAATGAATACCACTTGCCTCATATGCCGGAAAGGAAATGCGTACTCTGTCAATCATATGACCCGCAAGAGATTCACAAGCCTTTCTAATATTTCTCTCATGGGCTGTCTCGATAAGAATAACATCATCAGCAGATTTAGCACCCTTAACAGTCGAATAAACTGATTCCTTGTCACTGTTCCCACTGGCATTGCTAACCACATCGGCAGAAGAGTCAGCACTCGACTTCCGAGCATCCCTGGCTTGATTAACATAGTAACAAAGACGTTTGTGGTATTCGGCAAATATTCTTGCTGCTTCATCACACTGCTGATCGTATGATTCCAGCACCACCTGCTTATGCCTACAGTAAATGCATCATAATCATAAGCTAACCTCGCAGGGTCAAATTGCTCAATGTTCATGTCAGCAGTTCAGAACATCACCTGTTTTTAGAGCGTTCATCGATCATTCTCTTCCTCTCCGCCTCCTCCCTCGAGATCTCGAGCATTCGGGCTTTCAAATCCTTCCTCTGACGCCTAACAATATTCCTCAACCTCTCCACCTCCTTTGCAGCCAACTCCCTTTCCCGCAACGCCAAATCCCTACTCTCTGCCGCACTACTAGAAACATCCCCACCAACCACCTTCTCCTTCCTCCTCCCACCTCCTTTACTCCTGCCGCCGCCGGCACCGCCGTCATCTTTCCCAGAAGTACTCACTGGACCCCCACGCTCAACACCACCTCCACCAACACTGTCGCCGCCGTGTACCATGATGTTCTTCCGTATACTCTCCACCGTCTTCTCCGACTTGACCCTATTAATCAAGAAACTCCAGACGGGTATCAAGTTACCCCGACATATCTTCCGCAGCGCATCAATGGAAGGAAGCTGGGACTTGTTCGTCGAACCACTGTAGTTTCCCAACGGCCGGTACCCCATCTCCTTGTGAAGCCACTCCAGTATGGCGTCCGGCTGCGCCATCGAGCTCGACGAACTTTGCATTCCAATTCGGAACAAAATAAAAAACAAAAATTCACACACTCACCGAACACCCTCTGAACGCCAGAGTCTGCATCGCAACCGAAATTGGTCTATGGCACCATTACAGAATCAAGATCGAAACTGGAACCATTGCCCTGGGAGAGTTGGGATCCTGCATTGTGGCAGAATCCCCAAACCATGGATCAGATTCCACTGCGATGACGGCCCAAATCAGGGATTTCTGAAGGCGACTTGAAACCCTAGGAAATGAGGGAGAGCGCTGGGAAGAAGAAGAGAGTGATGGATGTGAGAAATGTGGTGGCGGGGCTGGTCGATTCGAGTTAGGGCGGCCGGCAGATCAACTGACAAAGAAAGAAGACAAAAGGGAAAGAGAGAGGGAATGATTCAAAATGAAGAGATTGGGCTTTGATTTTCTGAATTGCTATTCGTCGCCCTAAAATTCAAAGTTTGTCGCCCTAAAATGCATATAATTGACCCTTTTACCCTCCTATCTCAATTTCTAACCAAAACCTACGAACAGTCTCTTACCCTGCCAGCCATCGCCGAGCTCCTCTATCCTCCGCTCGCTGCTGCCGCTGCCAGATTCCTCTTGCCAACAGCTGACCACCGCCGGATTCTACTGTTGCTGCCAGGTTCTACTGATTAAATATATGTGCAATATGATAAAGAGTGGTCAAAGACTTGGATCTCTCTGTATATATGATTCATTAAATAATGTCTTTGGATTCCTTAGAATTCTTTTTCTTGGTTAAACCATTCGCAGTAAGAGGACTCTGATTCCATTGGAGAAAGACAACTTTATATTCATTAGGGGAAAAATACAGCTTTATGCTTTGCAGTTGCAGCCGTCCACATTAGCTATTTGCTTATGCATATCATATAATTGGAAGGGAAGGGGGAAAGGGATTCAGCCAACCGACCATCAAGAAAGCCGACTTGTTCTCAACTCGCCGGAAATGAGTTTTCAATCCATCCGCTGGTTCCAACGGCGGTTACGAAAAAACCCCGGATATGGAAAGTCCTCTGAAAATAGGAAATAGAGATGAGATACAAACTAAACTAAGGATATTTGAGTCATTTTGATAAAAATTAGGGCGACGAATAAGGTAATTTAGGGCGACGAATAGCAATGCCCTTGATTTTTAACTGTTTGGAAGGGAGAAGTAGAGAAATTATCCATAAAGATCTCTAAACTATACCTTGTATACAAAATGGTCACTTAATTTTTTTTTATGAATAAGGTATTTTATTCATCAAGAAAGGATCGCATTGTGCCACCCTAACTGGAAAACCACTAATTTCATACAAAGCACACCCCTAGTCTCTGTATACAAACTGAAAAACATAACAACAAAAACAAAAGAACCTGCTACAAACCTTTACACATTACCCAGCCCCTTCAAACTGAAACTCTATCTAACAACATATCAGAGACAAACACAGCAGCAGCTGGAACACAATTTACAAGGATCCTTAAGTGATCCTGAATCTTCTTCACTAGTTGTTCTTCTGTAATAAGTTTGTGTCATAAAGCCTGCGGCAGCGCTCTCTCCAAAGCTCACTCACCAACATCATCCATACCATCCTGCCATAATTGGCTGAATCAGTGTCTGTCTTATACCTTGTCGTTGCCAGATGCAACGTGTCATTCCAGTTGTTACACAACAGTGAGGAAGAGCCTGGGATCACCTGCATAACGTTCCTGGAATAGATGCAATCAAAAAATAAGTGATCCCTAGACTCAGGGACACTTCGACATAAAGGGCAGAGATTTATGATCCCAGCATTCCACTTTTGAATCTTGTCCAGAGTTGATATTCGATCCTGGATTATCAACCAAATTATATGCTTGTCCCTTGGGCTACAGAGAGATTTCCAGACCAGCTTGCACCAAGGAACCTGGGGCTGTTTCACTCTTATTGTTTCCCAAACCTTAGTTACATAATATCTTTCCATGTGAAAGCCATTCCAGAAGACTCCATTGTTACGTGCCTGGAGATACCCCTCAGCGAGCACTCTAACCTTTACTACTTTCTTCCATGCCCAGGAGCAACTTATAGTGGGAGGAATGCACCAAATGGAAGTATAAGATAGTTGATACTGTCTTACCCAGCTTGCCCATAATGATGAAGAGTTTGAAATGATTGCCCATAGGTTCCTGATTAGACAGGCTGTATTCCAACTTCTGAGGTCTTTGAATCTCAATCCTCCCTCAGCTTTAGGTAGGGCTACTCTGTCCCATCTTATTTTTGCCTTCTTTCCTTCCTCCTCTGAATCCCATAAGAAATCAGAACAAGCCTTCTCAATCTGTTTAATCACCTTTGCTGGGAGTTGGATTATATTCATCCAATACTGAGTTATGCTTGCAATTACTGAGCATACTAACTGCAGTTTCCCCGCGTAAGACAGTGTCCTGACTCCCCACCCTCTAAGTCTTGCAGCGATCTTATCAACAAGTACCTTACAATCTATAGAAGTGAGCTTCCCAGCCACTAAGGGTATCCCTAAATAACGCACAGGAAGCTGACCAATCTGGAATCCAGTGGCATCAACAGTGAGATTCTGAGTAGCAATATCAGTTCCCGCACAAAATATCTCACTCTTAGAAGGGTTGCAGTTGAGACTAGAAATCTTGGAGAAAGCATCCAGTATCTTCTTTACAACTACCACAGCCCCACAAGTGCCCCTAGTGAATATCAGCAGATCGTCCGCGAAACACAAATGAGTAAGTTCAATTCTATGAGTCTGAGGGTGAGGTTTGAAAGCTTTTACTAGCAGGTCTCTATTTAGCATTCTAGAAAGGACCTCCATAGATATAGTGAAGAGATAAGGGGAGAGGGGATCCCCTTGTCTCAGACCCTTCTTAGCAAAGAAAATAGCCACACAGACTTCCATTGAAGCTCACACTAAGTCTAGTACTTTGAAGGCAAGTGTTAATCCAATTTATAACCTGCTGAGGAAACCCCATAGCTGCTAGCACAGTAGACAAAAAAAGTCCAATCTACACTATCAAAAGCCTTCGTAAAATGGTCACTTAATTTGTTTATGAAACGTTAAGTTTGAACTTATAACAAAAAACTTATAACAAAATGCCACTCTCATTCATCTTCGTTATAGAACACAAAGAAAATCATATAAAAAAATATAATGCTATTCAATTTTTATTAAAGTTTTCCTTATCAAACATTTTCCATTACATTGCTCTTGTAACATCATGAAAGTCTTACAAACGGGAAACACAAGGAACAAGTAACGTTGTCCTATACTCGAAGATTCGAAAATTAGGACTTGAATATCACATAAAGTGATCTTCGTTGTTTTTAAATGTATTTGATGAGGTATATAAAGATAAAATTCACCTTGAAATAACAGTTTCAAACCTTACAATAAATCATGCGTGATGAATTCACTCACTAGACACAAAAAAAAAAGCATTGAATAAATTAGGACATCAATGACATTTTGTTGATAGTTTAAGCGTTTTACTAATATTAGCCCCTAAATGTTTAGAGCATCCACATCAATGTTATTTGTCCAACTGTAAATTTTACATGACACTTAATTGAAAATGAAGATTGCACAAAAGTTGTGAACACTTGCAAATATGTAAGTTTGTATTTGATGAAATTCAAAATACAAGACACTTAGAAAATAAAAATAATAGTTTATTTTCTTCTTTCTTTGTTTATTTTCATTTATAATAAAATTATTTGAGCCCACCGCATGTGCAAAATGTGAGATTGCTAACAAGCATTGTCTACCTAATTTTTCATTATAGCAAAATCACAATATGAACCTCCAAAAAAAATATTTTTCACATCCGTACATTCATTCAGTGCATCAAATTGTAATACACAAATTCATTAAATGAGTTAATTTGTACCTCTCTACTATTTTAAATTAACAAACGTACTTCTTAACTGAATTTTTTTGCACAAACATATTTTTCAAATATCCCCTAATTGTAGATTTAATATTATTTTATTATTTCTTAATCAGAACCCAATTAAAAAGTATATCAATCTCACTCTGCCTGCGAAATATGGCCAACACCTTATCCCATTTGGTTTGTTCTTTATTTGGAAACTTCGGCGTCGTTTGATTTTGATGATAGTTTAGCGGGTGTTGTTAAAATTATTCTTAATCGAATTGTGAATTGTGATTAATAAATGATAAAACAAAATTAATACCAAACGAGATCATTTGAGTCTATTTGCAGCACACTTAACAACTGATTAACTAATAATTAGACAACCGAGTATATTTATTATATTTAATATTAAAAATGATACGTTTGAGAAAAAAATTAATAAATTTTTTTATTAATTCACAATAATAAAAGAGTACAAAATACTATTAAAACTAAACTTCGAATAATAAAATACATCAATTTTGGAGAATCCCAATTCCCAAACCCCTCAATTCCTCCGCGTGCAAGCCCCTTACCCCACCTTCCTTCTCGCAAACTCCAACTCTCATTCCACTAACTCCACAGACCGCATTCCCTCTCCCCATCCAATCCCTCCGCCTGCATCTTTCTTTCGCCTTTGTCTGGGCCACCAGCCGACAACCGCAGCCGGCGACTTCTCACTTCCCTTCGCCTGCTCAGCCCCTCATCCGATCCTTCTCCCATTCCAATCCCTCTGCCTGCATCTTTTCGCCTCTGACTGAGCGACCAGCCGACGACCGCAGCAGCCGACTTCTCACTTCGGCCCTCACCCGATCTTTTTTCAGAACTTGAACACCTCGCTAACAACCCAGGTAGCTCTAAGTCTCGATTGTTCTTATCATACTCCTAAATCGATTTTGTCTATTTGGATGCCAAATACAACCCTCTCTCTCTCTCAAATTGAATAATCCGATTTCCGAATCATCTCCTCTCTCTCTCTCTCCCCTTCACTCTATTTCTCCTTCTCTTCTCTACCAACGATTTTAGGGGTTTCTCGTCTCTGTAATCGAGTTCCCTCTTGCCCCCACTTCGCAGTTACATAGAATAAACAATTGTATATATTGTTGTCGACGATTGATCGTCTTTCTTCCAGCTCTCTCTCTCTCACAAGGTACTCTTCCGATTCCCTGTCTTTCTCATCTCCTGGGCACCAGGGTTGCTCTCAATATTCGATCATATGAAATGGGTCCTCTTTCCTTTCAATGGTGGGTGATGGTCTCTCGGTTTGTTCTTGGATTGATCGGTCATCTTTTGACTTTTTCGATTGTCCGGGAATCAGTTTGGAAGAATGAAAATATGAAAGTTCGCTTCTTTTCTTGATTCTGGTATCTTTGATGTACCTGTTCTTGTTAAATTTGAGCTTCTACTTCTTCTGGACGTTGCTTTGTACTGAAGGGATACCCTTTTTCTGGGTTTTGAAGGAAACCATGTTTACGGGTGAAAAAATTGTCACTTTCACAGTGGGAAGAAAAAAGTATGGGCAGGCCATGCTCAAATTTGCCATTACTTTAGTAATAAGTCATAACTGTGGTCATCAATTCATCTGGTCGTATATTTCAACACTAAAGTTACTTCTGATAAAGCTGTATTGATCGTTCCCTTGACCTGATCGAGTGAAGGGAGACTGATAACCGTAACATGCAGTCAAATGCAGATTACTTCAGAGGAAACATGCATTTCTCGAATTCATTTGTAAATGGAGTGTTTGGTGAATAGCTGCATGATTCTTCTTACTTTCAGGTGAAGGAGTATCGACTTGGGCAAGTTGTTTAACAAGTTGAGATTGTTTATTTTGTAGTTAAGAGAGGGAGGGTACTGGTTCGCAGAAGCAGCTGAGAGCTTCAGCGAGCTTGGATTCCTCTCTCATGGTGATTCTATTAAGCATTTAGACTGGACTAATTCGGAGGGGACAGATCTAAAGACTCACTTGGCACAAGGAAAGCTGCAGGAGAATACACAATGGGTGCTGTTTGTTGTTGTTTGCATTTTGAGGACTACGAGGATTATGTGAATCCTAACAGTTCTGTGTATAGAAACTGCATGTGTCTCAGCTGCTTTCTGCAGTATTTTCTACATGTGGTATATTTCTTTTTACTACCAACTCATTTCTTGCTAAATGGATTCTGGTCCCATTAAGAGTAGCTTACTGGCTATATTGAATCTATGATCTTAGCTTTGTTGCCTGCTCGTGCGTATATGGTTCATCAAATGCTTCAATGGGCAAACATGTTACTCTTTTCGTAAAGGCATTACTTCGATTTGATTTTTCCTTGTTCCTTGATTATAGAATTTCGTTTGTGCAACGAGACTAGAGGAGCATCCTTTTATTACTTTATCTTCTTTGGCTTTTGTGAATTTAGTTATGTACTTTGAATTCTATTGTTATAGCATCAAAGTAGAAAAGATGTTTCTATAGGTGAGTTGGCACTTGGAGTCTTTTTCGATTTTAGCTACAAATGGTTATCATTGCATTTCTTTATTGTTTGATATGCTGTTTTCTGCGAGTGTTACTCTATGATCCTTTTTTTTTTGGGATGTTCCTGCTTCTACAGTACTTCGGCTGTTAGTTTCTTGCGGCATTGAAACATTGTTTCCCTTTTACATGAGGAATGTTCTTAAGACATTGTTTGGCTTTTGCTGCAATATATGCCCATAATACTTGGAACGTATTTATTATGTGAAAGTAGTAGACTGTGGTCACACCTCTATACTCCAATCAAAACATTGCGTGCTTAGGTGTGCTGCAGACAAAGTTGACTTGCCTGCTGTGAAGTTCCAAGAATTTTCTTCTCTGATCTCTCTCCCCCCTTATTTTTGTAGTATGGCCAACTTTTTCGGAGAGGGGAAGTGCATTCTGTTTCATCATCTATTCAGGGGGCAGCATCTCTAAATTCTCCTACATCCCTAGACAGCTCTCTAGCTGACATGTACCGATCTCCTCCAAGGCCCTTGCCATATGATGCTGATCCAAGATATTTCAGGTTGCAGCGTGATGGTCTGGTTTCAAGGCGTGAGAAGGGTTCAAGTCACTCACATGAGGAGGCAGAACCATTGAGAAGCGATAATGATGACGATACAGAATTCTACAGTACAGGAGACAAGTGGAATGCATCTACGTGTGAGGAAGGTTCTAAAGAACAGCGTCCCAGGTCCTCGCTTAAACTCTCATCTGCAAAAGCTTCCTCTGGAATCGGATATATTTATTCATCTTCTGAAGACGAGGAAGTCTGTCCTACATGTCTTGAAGGTACAGTTGTTAATCTGTCTTCTTAACTACAGATTGGCTACTCCATGCTCTGTTCATGTTCATCTTTTCATGAACATTTTTAGCATAGGTTAAACGTTTCTGTTTCATGGTGTCTAGATGCCATCTTATGTTCAGCAGTAGTCACATTTGGTTCGTTGTGCACATAAGAGACAATCTATTCTTGTGAACTCCTTGGTCAACACAGTAGGTTCCTTCTTGTACTAGACAAGTAGCTGATGAGAATCTAGATGAGATTGTGCCCAGTAAGGACCTTAGAGATGTAATTGGTGGCCCTCTCACTTGGACAATGCTTAGACTAATTTTCTGTTGTTGTTAAGAACACCCTCAAAGAGCTTCGAAGTTTCAAAAAGATGCGGAATTTTATAATTGGGGGCCGTACAACAATTCTTATCAACAATGATTTGGAGTAATTTTGTGTTGTTGTTAAGAACCCCCTCAAAGAGCTCCGACGTTGCAGGAAAATGCAGAATTTTACTATTGGGGTTTCTTACAGCAATCCTTTTCAACAATGATTTGGAGAAGAGGATTAATTCTGTTTATTTTTGTTTGAATGATTGCTTTAGTAGTTAAAGTCTAAGAGAAGGTTTTCTGTATACTTTCTTTAAGTAGGAGTCAAAATTATTGGCTGCTTAGTGGTAGTAGGCCTATTATTCTATCGGCGTTGAATAAGAATGTCATTCCTTATAATTCCAAGGCTTATCAACTATGAATTGAGTCCCCAAATACTGATTTTAATGTTGAATTACGTGATGTGGGCATTAGTAGCCAGTTGTCGGGTCTCAAGCTGCATTCTATTCCATGCTCTAACAGATGAAGGCTAAGGTAACTGATCTCTAACTTTCCAATTATCACATTTCCATTGTGCAGAGTATGCTCCGGAGAATCCTAAGATTATGACCAAGTGCTCTCACCATTTCCACCTTGGTTGCATTTATGAATGGATGGAGAGAAGTGATAGTTGTCCTGTTTGTGGAAAGGTAACTATATTTCTTTTTAACCGTGTTTTTCTTTGGCATGCTGTGCGGTTGAATATCGTTGGTTTGGAGCTCATAGATGCCGTGTTTATGTAAAGGTAACACTTGTTCTTTTGACTACTATATCCTAGTTTTAGCTGAAAGCGAAACCTTTTGTTTGGTTGTAGGTGATGGCATTCGATGAAACGACATGATCTTTCGGGTTGATAGGTATGTTGTCGTGGATGAAAACCAGCACATGATAGGAAATGAAGGCTTACAAGACCTGTAGAGAGTTGTTTGTGAATATTGCAGATCATGAAAGTGTTTGTGATCTCCCATTGTATATATAACAAAAGGAAAGGAAAACAAACGTTGTTTCAGCAACATAACATTTGTTATGAACATGCAAGCACTCTATCCCAAAGTGCCATATTTTATAATATCCTTAGTTCTGTGAACTCTTCCATCTGATTGTGTGATTCAGATTTTACTTTTGAGAAATTTTTCAATACTATATAGTATTGGTGCTATAGGGTTTTGCCTTTATGGTACAACTTAAAATTGTACATTTATGTTATGGTACAACTTCAGATTGTATCTATATTTTTTGTACAAATTCTTTTATGGTACAAGTACAACTTCAAGCTGTAAAGTTGTACCATAACCTAATGGTACAATTTGCTTTATGGTACAACTTAAATTTATACATTTAATGTTATGACACAACTTTAAGTTGTACATTAAAACACCGATAGTAGAAGTGCTCTTTACTTTTTAGTATTCTTTCCGATAGTAGAAGTGCTCTTTTACTTTTTAGTATTCTTTAGTTATGACTTATGTGGGTATATTGATGAGGTGAAGCTTGAATGCGATGGGTTTTGCTTTGCTCCCTCCTTGCCAGTTAATTGTCCTTTTAACTTGCAGTTGAAACTTCATTCATAAAATGGTTGAGAATGCAAGGACACGACCCAAACGAGGCCAGCATATTAACATACTAGTGCAAATGGAAACATATGGGTCGAACTCAAGCAGTTTGGTGGCTTGAAAAGTGATAAAAGTAGCTTCAATCCACAAAATTCCAGTTAAGGCCCCCACTCTGGCAGTTGACCCATCACCCATCACTACTTTTTTTTCCAAACACTTGCATCAATGGTGGGAGTGGGTGGTTGGGTGGGGTAGTGATGGCATGGGAGCATATCACTTTGTGTATGTCCTTTCTCTCCAACTTGCATTACACACAGCTCTAATGTACCTCTTCAATGGAGGCCAAAGCACGACTGTTGAATCCAACTCTCTGCTTGGATTGGCAGCTTGAGAGCTCTAAACTTTGCAGCATAAGCGATGATCACACAAGAGAACAAAAGGGCAAAGGAGGGCCATTAGCATATCACAAGAGCACGAATGCAGCCCCAACGTTTCATTTATTAACTGTCAATTCTGGTTTCTGAGACAAGAAAAGAAGTACCAAGGAAACAGCCAGCAATCTGGTTGCAGGATTATTGTTTGGCAATAACTTCAAAAGCACGCAGGAAACCTTCTGGTGGCTGTGCTCCACTCTAACTTGTGCTTCCCTTTAATCTGTAGGATTTATTGTAAAAAATTATAACCCTTCTCTCAAAATCAAAGCTTTAAGATTGTAGAAGTGAAAGCAGACAAATTTGATTAACATACCACATAGTAGGGCACTCCTCTAACCACCGTCTTCTCCAGATCCTCATTTACCTTAAACATCAAGTCAGCCATAAAGAAGTTAAAGACAGCTAGAGTAACTAAACACAAAATGAAGAAGTGATGAGCTACTCAGAAGTGAAGACAACAAACAGAAAACCTGTTCCAGTCCAGCATTTGGGTCATCGAGAAACTCAGCTGCGCCTTCTAATCCAATCGTATCAGCACATTCGAGCAGGAATTCCCTGTCCCCAATGTACTTGGCATGTGTGAAGTTGCCAAAGAAGAGTTCCTCAGCAAGCTTGTGCTGTTTGTCAAGCCCTTGCTCACCTGCTAAATACATCAGCCTGTGGCTGTCCATAGTACTTCCTCTGTTGATAAAACAAACAACAACGTCTGTTAATTCTTCAACGGTTACTTGCATCAACTATTGAAGGCAATCAAACATTGTAGCTTTCAAGACTCACGTTAGCCCGGAAAAGTCATAGTTCATGCCAAGTCCCCTGAAGATCTGCAAGCAAGTATGGAAATGTGGTTAGCACCAACCCATAGATAGCCTGAAATCCAAGGAAATGCAAAGAAAAGTGAAATAATAAATGGAGAACCTCAGACATGCGAGCCATCATTCCATCGATTCCGCCTCCGAACCTTCCTCTGTAGAACTGTAACAAGTTCACTCCTTGCTTTTGGGGCATCAGGATACAGCTGAAATGGATGCCATCTAATCTGGGGAGAAATAACCAAATTTGAGAAGAGCCGGGCTTAAAATTAAGACTTGGAAGAATATTGATGAAAAGCAAGAAAGATACCGAGGTAGACGGACCAGTACCTCGAAATCGAATCTGTCACTAGAGGCAGCTATGGCTTTGTCCAAGTTTTTCTTGCCAACAAAGCACCATGGACATACAGTGTCTGAACGTATATCAATTCTTATCAGCTTCTTCCCAGAGTTGGTAGCCATGGCGATTTGTTCTTTTCTTCTAAACCATTCAATTGACTAGATCAAAGATGAAATGGCTTAAGCTCCTTTTTCTCCAGAAGGTTTTGAAGAATCCAACAAAGGGTTATAGGTAAAGAAGAATACCTGGAAAAATATTTGAGACTTCTCTGGAGGCAAGGCAGCAGGAATCGCATGAAGAGCAGAATGAGAAGGAGAACATGCGTTTTCCTCTGTAAGGACTAAGGACATGTTTGGTGTCAAGTTTGACTTTTTCAGCTCCCATAACTGCAAGACTTTTTATTCTTGTCTGTCAAAGACTGCTTATCTGATTCCATTTATACACCAGGAAATGTCTCACCTTATCATGCCCGCGTAGCTGACTATTACAGAAGCAGTGTATGAACACAAACACTACTATTCCATTCCATTTATTCATCAACCAAACAAAAGAAGGAAATTCCCTGTTGTAGAGGGATCACTGTGTTCATACATTAAGGCTTAAGCACTTGAACGCACGCAGGCTCGCAATCTCTCATTATTACACACAATTCTTTTAGTGTACATGACAAGAATACAACAACTAAATGTAGGTGTAGGTCCTTTATTCATAGCTAGCACATGAATAGAATTCTATGCGTGGCTGAATTCGAGCGTTATATATAGCTCCTTTATTGATAACACACATACATACATAGACTCTTGTCAGGGGATGTAATTTCAGCTCATCAATTTGAAGCAGCATCAAAAGCTCTCAGGAATGCCTCTGGTGGCTGACCACCACTCAGCTTGACTTTCCCATTCAGCTGTTCCATAAGTTCAATTAGTTGCGACTTGTGAGGTGGTGGTTCTTATATATTCGAATTGCAGAACCGAAGTCTCATAATGTGATGGAATAGATTGTCACGTACCACGTAGTATGGGACTCCGTTAATGTTCGAGGAGTAGTTGTTGAGCTCTTCCATTACCTTCATCAAATTAAAACGTTTGTTAGAATGTTAAAATGTGCCTTACACCATAGAGAAATGAGTGGATTTCTACAAACAAAAGACGAACTGAAAACATAGGGCATTGCTGCCTGCAGTGAATTTGGCAACTGAAGAATGAAATGGAAGGTGAAACGACCTCTTGGAGCCCATTATTGGGATCGTCGAGAAACTCTGCTGCACCTTCTAGGCCAACCTTCTGAGCACATTCCAAAAGAAATTCTCTGCCAACATTGATTGCATTGCCAGATAAGCAATAGAGGACGAAAAAAAAGGAACTACATACACTCTTGTGTTCCCTTTATTGTTTGATTCTGATCAATTGCAAACCCCAATTTATACAACTATATACAAACTGAAGTCTCACTCTAGGTGATCTTGTTTTACTTGGCTAAAGACAAGCAACATCGAAAATATTATTTGCGCAGGTGCAAAGTAAGTCGATTGAATCATTGACACAAAAGAACAAACAGGATTCATGGTAAATATATAAATGAAAATGCACCTAAAGATCATCGTGAATCTCATGTTAGAACTGTGAGTGAAGTCTATACAGTCGGTGACGAAATAAGGCCTGAAAGACCACATAGAGAGTTGAACTTTACCTATCTCCAATGTACTTAGCCTGAGTGAAGTAGCCAAGGAACAGCTCCTCAACAAGGTTATGTTGCTTATCAGAACCCTGCTTTCCAGCATAATATATAAGCCTGTGGCTGTCTAGAGTGTTTCCCCTGCCAAAAAACTCCACCAGAGATTCTTACTCAACACACTCCTTCACAAAAAAATGATATATTTCCTCCCTAGAAAGGGTTTCGAACTTACGTGAGGCCGGACAGGTTATAGTTCAGACCAAGGCCTCTAAAGACCTGCAAAATCATATCCACACCTCAAAAGAGTTTATCTATGGAACCACAGCTTGTGGAAGAAGCATAAAAGCGAGTTTATATATAACCTCAGTCATCCGTGCTACAACTCCATCAAGTTGAGGTCCAAACTTGTCCTTGTAAAATTGCAGTTTGTTCATCCCTTCTTTAGGTGCAGCGGGATTGAGGAAGAAAGGGTGCCATCTGATCTGCCAAAACCCCAAATTGGAATTCGAATAAACTCGAGGGCAAACTCAAATTATGGGACAGAGATTAGACAAAGAAGAAGACCACAACCTCAAAATCAAATCTGTCTGTAGAGGCAGCTATAGCTTTGTCCAGGTTTCTCTTCCCCACAAGACACCATGGGCATATAGTGTCAGAACTCACATCCACGCGGATAAGCTTCTTCCCAGCAGCTGAGTCGGCCATGGACCTCACGAGTTGTATCTGGTTTACCCTCAATTTCCAAGCCATGTTAGTATCAGAAGTTCAGCCACTCATGTTAGCCAAGTCCTACTAAAGTTCTATCCTTCCCTTTCCCAGGATGAACTGCAAATCAAACTACGAGAGACCCAGGAGAGGGAAACACACACAGACTTGTTGGTGTTCATTAATCTCAAACTCTAGAGACCAGACATCTTAAAAAAAGCAGAAAGATGGAAGGCGGGAGACGGGAGACGGACCTGGAAGCAAAATAAATTGCTGTCGGAGCTGGAAGAAACCTAAAGGTGAAAGCCTGCTAACAAAGTTGATGACAGAAGAGAAAAATCATCACAATCTGCTTTATATAATAACGATCAAGGTGCCTGGTGCAGGATCGGTGCACGTTTCAGCTCTCTGAGACTGACCAACTACCTTATTAGTTCCAAATTCACCCACGTTTCCATCGTTAGACAATTCTGTTGGGCCGTTGATCCTTTGGACCTGTTTAAAAAAAAATTCAAAATATACCTATTTAAAAAAAAATTCTCAAAATACACACATTTTATGAAAAATTCTCAATCTACACATGTTTGGCCATCACTGTTGCCGCGAAATTTTTTTGATTCCGTATAACTTTTCAAGATCTTTCAAACTATAAGAAGTTTTCATCCACAAAAAATATCGTCTGCTACCCCGTACGAACAATTTTTCGTAAACTCTGGAAGGCCATAACTTTTTGTTTCTCAATCCGAACTTCATTAAAAAAATTATTGCACATAACTTTTAAAGAAGTACAAATTTTACAAGGAAAGAATTAAAAAAAAAAAAAGAATATTTTTGGGTATACGAGATTTTGGAAATAAATTTGCCTTTACTTTTCACAAATAGATTATGGTTATGATCAAAGTTGTAGTCCTTCAAAAGTTATGAGAAATAAAAAAAAGTTTCGTGACATTCGGATTGCGGAGCACAAAATTATGGTCTTCCAAAATTTTTCGAACTCTTAAAATTGCTCGTTCGAGGTAGCAAACGACATTTTTTTGGGATGAAGGCGTGTAACAGATTGAAAGATATAGAAAAGTTATACGGAATAAAAAAAATTCGCTACGATCGAATAACCGAGCGGAAAGTTACTTTCACCGCGGCCGTCAACCACGATGATGTATTCACTGGTTTAGTTTGCCGCTGTGAATAGGGGTGGAAATTGGGGTGGGTGTGGTTACCCGCCCCACAATTTGCGGGTACCCACACCCACAAATTTACAATTATGTTACCCACAACCCGCACCACAGTGGTTAGTGGGTAACCATTACCCACTGTGGTTTGTGTGGGTTGGGTGTGGTTACCCGCAAAAATGCATATTTGCATGCATAGAGTTCTAGTCGCCACTAGCTTATTTGTTGTTCGTAACTAGATTATAGTGATATACACTTGTGTTGTTCGTGGAGATACAATTTTGTACATCGATCTTACTCAACGTGGTGATTTTTTTCTTTTTGAGTTTGGTATTCAACTTTTGTGCCAGAGAGCTGTGATTTCATATTTCCCTGACTAGGGGTGAAATATGACAATTAAATATGATCTTATATTTTTTTCACACAAAAGCAAAAACATACTGATAAAAGTTACAAAAGGTGTTCACTTTTAATGAATTGATTATTCTCCACTTTATCGATTATAGTGTTTTATAAACTAAAAAATTCTTACATAAAACTGATTAGGCGTGTCTTTTTTATTTGGTGGCTACTTTAATTTTTATCCTCACACTTTTAACATACAATTATATTATAAAGTTAATTCACTAAATAAATATAATTAGTGTGGTTATTGTGGATTTTGTGGGTTATCCGCGGTGGGTAGTGGATAACCACTAACCACAAAAATCGTTATTTTACTACCCACACCCAACCCACTACCGGACTACCCACAACTTGTGGGTATGGTTACCCACAATAGGTGCGGGTTGGTGCGGTTTGCGGATTATCCACAACCTGCAACCCAAACTTCCACCCTAACTGTGAATGCATTCACTGTTGTTGACGACAGGCCGACAGCGGTGATGTCCAAATACGTGTAAATTGAAATTTTTTCATTTTAGAATTTTTTTAAAAAAACATATGTCTTCTGTAGAAAAAATCCCACTTTTCACAATCTTTTCCATGTTCGCCCTCCAAACCATCAATTTCCGAGCAAGACGAAACGCCTCCTTTTGATAATGTGTTTGCACTTTGCAGTTTGCACTCTCACTGTGATCTCGTGACCCGCCGGAAAAATTATCGTAAAACGACTCAACCGTGAAATCTCCTCCTAGATTCCGATCCAACACTTGTCCGGACGTCCCAACATTTCATCCCAAATAACATCGCCCTACGGTATAATCCTTTTCTTCCCTAATCTCTCGTCCTTCCTTGCTCTCTCCTTTCTGGAAAAAGTCTCTCCTTTTAAGCAACCCATTACAATCTGGGCATTCAAATGCTCAAAGTTCAAGACTTTTTCTGAAACCCAGCTCATAATCTTTCTCAAAAGTTCAAAAATTTCATTTCTGGTGGTGATATTCTCTATTGCATTTCTCTTTGTGTAGCGTGAATCAATTGAAGGTGAGAACAATCAAATTGAGGGCCGATGGATATAAGCGAGATACTTGGGGAGAGCTCGAAGCCAGGAAGCTTAGTACCGACCAAGAGCGCGATTTATGTTTGGGGTTACAACCAGAGTGGGCAGACGGGAAGGAATGGTAAAGAGCGCCAATTACGTATCCCTAAGCAGTTGCCACCTGAGCTATTCGGTTGCCCTGCTGGTAACAACGCCCGGTGGTTGGATATAGCTTGTGGCCGGGAGCACACCGCCGCCGTGGCTTCCGATGGATCGCTCTTCACATGGGGTTTGCTCTCTTGCTCTTATCTTCGTTTCGATTTCTTCTCAGAATCTCAATTTCCCCTTGGAATCTTAACGGTAATAAAGGTCAAAATGGCGAAACTTTTTTTGTGTGCCCAATTTGTGATTCTTTGTTGCCCCGGGTTTAAGAGAGGTCAAGATTGTCTTCTGAACTGCCTATTCTTTGTTCTTCTTGTGTTTACAATTACAATTTCTGTAATTCGAATCATGGTTTTGGTTAGAGGCATGATGGTTATAATCTTTGGTTTATCTAGGGGCTAATGAATTTGGTCAATTGGGGGATGGCTCTGAAGAGGGGAGCAAGTACCCTAAGAGAGTAAAGCAATTAGAGTCCGAGCTTGTGAAATCTGTAGCTTGTGGAGCACATTGCACTGCTGCTATTGCAGAACCACGTGAGAATGATGGAACCATCTCCAAAAGTAGGCTATGGGTTTGGGGACAGAACCAGGTGCTTAGATTTATATCTGTGTCATTCTGTTTTGGAAAAGCTGTTTCATTTTGTCATGACTCTAGAACTTAGCTTTCTTGTGATTTCTTCTTCTCCTCATTCCAGGGGTCGAATTCTCCGCGTCTGTTTTGGGGTGCCTTCAAACCTAACATGGTATGCGTTGAGTTGAATCTATGTCCCTGAGATTAGGATGGTGTATTGGCAATAAATATCCGAGATTCTTCTTAGTTTCTGGCTGTTCATGCAAATCTAGTTGAGGCTTGACACGTATGATAAATAATTGCTTGGCTTGAGCAGTGTTCAACTGGAATGAGGCACTTTGAATTAGTACGTTAATCCTTATTCTCTCTCTGGTTGCTTCAGATGATCCATCAGGTATCCTGTGGTGCAGCTCATGTGGTGGCCTTATCAGAAGACGGAATGCTACAATCCTGGGGTATTAATACACAGTTCTCCATCTTTTGACTGAATTTGCTTCCTCTCCATATGTAGCCATTTGATCCTACGCTGGAAGTGAAAAGACCTACGCTAGTCCTGCAAGCGACCAAACATCTCAAACTAGTGACTGATCTCTAGTTATTTTCCTTGACTAATCAGGATACAACGAATATGGCCAGCTTGGTCGTGGGGTTACTTGTGAAGGCCTGCAGGCTGCTCGTGTCATCACTGCTTATGCAAAGTTTCTTGATGATGCTCCAGAGCTCGTGAAGATAACCCAAGTTTCATGTGGGGAGTACCACTCAGCAGCCTTATGTGAAATGGGCGAGGTGTAAGTGTCTGTAAGATTCTGTTGACGAAGATAAAGTTGTACTATTAACATGAAAATTGTGGCTATTCTCATGACTCATGGAACTTTCCCTGAAGCTTGGGAAAAATCTCCTTGTGGGGCTCTCCCGGAGTTCGGGGTGCAATGGAAATTCTGATATGCAAGTCCCTCTCCCCTTTGCTTCTGTCTAGCAGTACATTTCTCATTGCCAGAAATGTGGCAGGCCAGTTTAGTTTCTTCCTACCATAAAGAATTGCACAGATTTTGTGTGATTATTAGAGATGCCATTACAGCATCAACAAATGGACCCATCCCAGATGTTTTTAAAATCGATTGTTTCAGATGCACGTAATTGATTCCCTCCATGAACTTCCCTTTCTTTTTCTGTTTGTACTGTTTCAGTTATACTTGGGGGCTTGGAAGCATGGGCCAACTTGGGCACACGTCCCTTCAATCTGGGGACAAAGAGTTGCTACCGAGACGAGTGGTTGCCCTTGATGGTGTTATCATGAAGCATGTCGCCTGTGGAGGAGTGCATACTTGTGCAGTTACTGAAAAGGGAGCTCTATACGCTTGGGGTGGCAGTCAAGCTGGTCAACTAGGCTTGGGACCCCAAACTTCATCATTCTCATTCATTCCCAGTGACTCTGAATCCTTCCTCCGAAACATCCCTGCCGTGGTTGTTCCAAATGGTGTTGAACATGTAGCTTGTGGACATTCTCATACACTTGCTTCTTTGAACGATGGAAGGATACAGGGATGGGGTTACAATAGCTATGGCCAGGCATCGAATGAGAAGTCGACATATGCTTGGTATCCATCGCCAGTTGATTGGTAGAGATCAAAACCCTTTGGTGGATAGCCGGTGTTAGTTTGTGTTTTAATTTTTACTGAATGTTGACCGAGCTCTCCAAACTTTGCAGGTGTGTAGGGGCAGTCCGGAAATTAGCTGCTGGGGGTGGTCACTCAGCTGTGCTGACCGATGCTTGTTCCTTGAAGGAACTCTGTGAGTTTAGACTTGCAGATGAGGTTAAGTTATCGAATGCATCACGGATTGAAGATGTTGCTTCCCGAACTGGGGCTGATGCTTTAGCTCGTCTCTGTGGACGATTGAGGTAAGGCTTCATCTGCTTTAAACTATTTGCTCGGTGTCCTCTTGTGATCGAATCCTTTTGCCACTTTGATATTCTGTAACGCTTTTAGATGTGAGATCTTTGCCAATAACTTTTCTTTGTATCTGCAGACAGCATATGGTTGACGTCGGAGATCAAAACTACGATGATGAAGATCAGTGAGCACTGAAACTCTCATTTAGAATTCGTCCTGATTTTCTGTGAATAGTCCTTCTCCTGTTCTGAATTAAGGGTGTCGATTGCGGCGTCAGCACCTGTAAGTATTGTAGCTCTGTGATTGTTGGAACAGGAAGCGTTCAACTAATACGTTGAGTCGAACTTCCGATTATTGTGTCCTCACAATATGCTGCTGTTCCATCTCGTATGTAGCTGTATGTACCAACACTTGGATGCCTACATAGTCAACCCATTTGTTGTGATTTAACTTCAAATATTGTAGTGACTGTAAGTCTGTAACAGAACTTTTATGTATGCGGGAACTAAGTAGTGTAATCAATGTACAATCTTTCTGTGGTTCGGCACTTCGCGAAGTTGTTCTACTGGTGATGATCTTACTGAATCAATTGACACATTGATGAATCTAACAACTAGTGGTTCGGCACTTCGCGAAGTTGCATATCTCTATGTGACTCTTGTATAATGGACAGGTAAGAGCTTGTTGCACATCATCTTTGGAACCAATTCTATGCCTAGCTAAAAGCCATGGATTCTAGCAAGCGAGGAAACTTCATTATGGCCAACAGAAAGTGCACACCATTTTAAATTTAAGGACAAAATGTAATATATTAGTCAAATTGGATCTATAAAATATCAGCCAGATCTTTAAAAATACAAAATATCAGTAAGATCTTTCATACCATTTAGGGTTTAGGGTTAATTTATTTGCAAAAAAATGTCATTGTATTGCAAAAGTTCTCATAGTATGGCAAATAGCATTAATTCATTTCTTGACCAAATACAATTTATTTGTTAAATTCTGATTAACACTTTTGTTAGACGATGTCGAGTAAGCAAGCGTGATGCTGAGTTGGAGGAGTTTTTGTGACGTGACGGTTAAAAAGAAATCACCATGTCAATCAACCTTGTGGTCACTTTTTTCTATTAATGTAATTTTTGAATAAAAAATAAATCAAGAATAAAAGTGCTATCCATAGCAAAACCACACTGACAGAGCGACAAAATCTTCTTCTCCAACCTATTCAAAGTTCATCGAGCCGGCGAAACCAGTCTCAATCAAAATTCCTTTGGACAGCAGACGACATCTCGTCCAACTGCACTTCCGCCTCCAAGATGGTACAACTCCTTGTCAATGATTAGTTTTCATAGTTAGTAAATCTTAACACACTCTTTCATTATATCCAACTCGATTGTGCAACTCATGATGATATTAACTTCTATTCATATTGTTCTCAAGGTGTGAGCTTGCCTAGCAGCAGCACGCAACCCTCTGGGTCTGCAGGTTCTCTCCTTTGTTTCAGGTTGATGTGGGTTGTTTGCCATTTTTTGAGTGTTATATGTTCTTCGATGTTACTGGTTTCAGTAGGTAAGACACTTTGAACTCACATGTCCACTTCTTGTGGATAGTGAAGGTACTCTTCCTGTTTTCTTCTTGTTATTTTGTTTCTCCTTCAATAAAGTTCATCACCATTAAAAAAAAACATCATTAATTATGTTAGTCAAGAATGCATCATTAATTATGTTAGTCAAGAACTAACTATATATATATATATCAAGTTATTGCTAGGCTAGCTAGCCAATTTCAGGCTTCCAGCTTACACAAACTTCGCTTTAAATTGGTACTGGTAGTTTGATGAGAGATACCGATTTTCGAAGGTCGTTAATTATTGGGAAGTTGAAGTCGCTCGATCTGCATATGAAGAAGAAGAAAAATCCCATAATTCATACACAGAAAGAGAGAGGTGCAGTATCTAGGGAATTTCCAGAATGTCCGAGACCAAGCAACATCAGAACTTGTGCTGTATGATAAAAGAGATATACTTTTGTCAACGACGTACTAGAGTTATTAAGAGAGAGATCCAAGAATGAATCATATAGGGATGGCTCCACAATACATCCTGCATTTTCTGGCATGTAAAATGTCCCAACAAAAACCTTGAAAATTATCGGATTTTACGTTTGTCCATAATTGTTGTACTTTTTGTTGATAACTTAAGTTGTTTAAAGATGTCAAAGAATTGACCATATATGGATGTCATGATCATTATACTTCGGTTTAGTGGTCATTTTGCAAAGTTGGTCCTTGTCCGAGTTGTAGTAGGTACGGATAATTGGTCGTACTCGACTCTTCTCGTTAGGGTTTTAAACCTACGTCTATCTCTCTATATAAGCTTAACTACGAGATTGTCGTAAGCAAGCCATCACAATGTAGTCGGTCAATAAAACGCCATCTGTGAGCTCTTCCGAGCTCACCGTGGATTAGTCTCGATCAATCAACCGATCGAGGATACCACGTAAAACTCTTGTGTTCTGTGTTCGTTTCAATTCCGCATCATCAAACGAAAGCCAACTCACGGGCTTGAAGTTTGCACAGGCCCACTATACCTTGTGCATTTAATCAATGGTTAATATTGGGGGTCGTGTAGATTCGAACACACGACCACTTGGCCAAACCAACTCTGATACCATGTCATAAACCAGTTGGTCCCAATAGCTCGAGTTATTGGGAGCAACAGGTTCTTGACATGTTATCAGAGCTGGTTGTCCGTGAGGTCACGTGTTCAAGTCCTCACGACCCCCAATATTAACAGTTGTCTTTCAAGCACATGGTATGGCGGGCCTGTGCAAACTTCAAGCCCATGAGTCGGCTTTCGTTTGAGGGGGCGTGTAAGGAAGTGGTTAAGCACCATACACGGGCATGTATAAGATCCAACATAACCTTCTCCCAACAACTCGAGTTATCGGGACAAACTGGTTTATGACAAAGATGACGCCTGAACTTCGGGGACAAAGTTCTTCAAAGGGGGGAGGTTTGGTGCATTATAACTTCCTTGGGCCTCGTGGCCCAGTTGGGCTTAGTCATTAGGATATATTGTTAGTTAATTATTTAGTTATTTAGAGATATTCATATTAGTTTATTGTGATTTGTTGAGGAAGTTATTAGGTTATTCTGTTAGGGTGGGATAGGGTTAGCTATTAGGTTTTCTTGTGTTTCCGTATAAATATGTATAGAATATTTCAGTTTATCATTATGTTTCTTAGGAGTAGATTAATTTAGCTAAAGAATCCCGTTCAAGGTTGTCAAACCGGTTTATGCCAGTGTACCGGTTTAGCAAGTGGAATGGTTCAACCAGTGGCACATACCGGTTTGTGCCGGTTCATGCCGGTTAATATTACAAATAAAATTATAAATATTCATATGTAAACATGACATTTAACGTCAATACCTAAACATTTATACTTGAATCCAACAAATAACATCAATATTTAACTTTTATACTCATAAAATAAATAATAAAATACTTTTTATCAATTAAATTCTCTAAAATAAGGTCATTTTACTTAGAGATTCGTATATCGATCATGCCGATCATACCGGTGGTGTCATGCCGGTTTTATGACCGGTACCGGTTGAACCCGGTACAACCGGTGGCACGCCGGCCGGCCTAACAACCATAATCCCGTTGCATTAAAGTTATAACGCGACACTGCTCTGACATCTCCTCGTCGACAGTTGGAATATAGAGAGTCGGCGAGACCAGATGGCCATCTTCCTGGATTCCCCGTGACGTTCCAACGCCATCTCTACTCCCTCATCACACAATAGGGGCGAGCTTCCCCGGCTTCTCCCGACGTTCCAACGTCAACTTCCCCGATTTTCACAAGACGTTCCGACGCTAGCGCTTCCCCGTCGATCCATCTACTCGGCTGCCGCATCTCTACCCGGCTTCTTTCGTCGACACCAGCTTCCCCGTCGTTCTGACTCCATCCGTATCTTGCTTAGTAAATACACTCTGCTTTTGATGTTCATACGTTATTTTTTCCGATAATGCTCATCTACTAGGAATGGGCCAGAAAACTTTTGTAGCATTGGTGTATTCCTAACCGCATCCATTTTGCCTCCATAGCCATTTGCTTGGTCTTTCTTGGCTATGTGATATTAGTACGACTAATGCTATAATGATCAGCTTACAACCTCTTTTTTGAATAACACTTTCATTCATTCATTTCCAATTGAAGATAGCCACGATTACAACAAATCAGATATTACATTGAGCACATGAATCCAATCATGATGGAGAGCATTAAGACGACAGTTCTTTGCCACCCAATCAGCACACTTATTATTTCGACGGCTGATGAAAGAGATCCTAATCCCTTCCTCTAAATGCATGATTCTTCTGATAGCTTCCAGTGATGCATAACATCTCCATGGCCATGTCGAAGGACAACCATTGATAGCATCCACAAGAACCTTGCAATCAGAGTAGACAAAAGACGAGGACCTTTCTTCGACAGCACACTGGCAAGCTTCAAGGATGGCTCGTGCCTCAGCTTCAATCGGAGAAGAACAAATAATCCTTCCAGCCTTTCCATTCCATATCTGTCCGTTGGGGTTAGTAATAACTACTCCAAAAGCCGCCTCCTGCGTAGCATCATCGAAAGAGCCATCGCAGTAAATCCTTTTGAGGGGAAAAAATGGCGGTGAACATGATTGAGATGGAGGGTCCCTAGGCTGTGTGAAGGTTGCGGGAGAGGGAGGTGTGTAGTGGGGTTCCGCTGCATCCCGGAACGCACAGATAGAGGTCATCGTCGGGGACGGGACAACTTTCCTGAAGATGAAATCATTGCGAGCTTTCCAAATGTTCCACATGCAAAAGATCTTCTGTCGGCAAGAATCGACACTCTCATCGTCGCGCAAGGAAAAGATCCACTGCGAAATATTTTCCGAGAAACAGATGGATGGGAACAAAATCCGCCAAGTTGCTTCCGCATGAGCGCACGAGAACAAGCAGTGGACTGTAGACTCCTCTCCTCCATTACACATTTGGCATGTCGTATTGGGAGCACATCACCGCCGGAAAAGGTTAAGCTTTGTGGCCAAAGCATTGCGGATGCACCTCCACATGAAAAATCTGATTTTCGGAGGAAGCTTCAAGGACCACAACCATTTCCACTTATCATTAGCGGCTGGTAAGTTCAAGTCATTCAGGACCGGCTGGTTCATTTCTTTTTGATGATTTCGAAGACCATGATAGGCAGTTTTCACTGAAAACTTCGCTGTTGAGCTGAACTTCCACACCCATTTATCGGCTGCTCCGTCCGGGCCAATCTGGATCCAAGAGATCCCATCTGCCTCTTCCGTAGAGCAATGCCGCTGGATGAGGTTCATGTTCCACCCTCTTCCATCTTGGCACATCCAATCACTGACACGGGAAGGCGGATCCAAATGGGATGAAATTGTATGCCCCTTTATAGTGTGCACCCAAGGATCCCTGTGAAACCATGTATCCTCTCCTGATCCAATAACCCGAATTGTTCCCAACTCCAATGCTTTCCTCGCTTCACACAAACTCGCCCAAATCCATGATGGCGTGCTTCCTTTCCTGGCCGTTGCAAAGTCTCCATTCGGAAAGTAGAGTCCTTTCATCAATCTTGCCCAGAGCGAATTTGGTTCCGTGATCAAGCGCCATCCCTGTTTAGCTAACAAAGACAGGTTCATTGTTCTTGTTTTCTTCCGTATTCCAATTCACAGGAATCACAGCCACATCCACAAAACAACGGAAAACGGAAGAAACAAACTCTCTTTGATTATGTGATTCCAATACCTGGAATCAATACACATTCCATCCAATCAAGTACTAGCTGCAACCATAATGAAAATCAATAAAATTACAACCAGCACAGCAACAATAACATGATTCGCCATTTGAAACTTCCTCATCAAAGGCAAATATGAAGACGGGAGGGATTTGCGGTTGGGGGATTTCTTTATCGACTGACTATACGGAGGAAGAAGAAGAAGGTGTGAAATTCGTTGTTGTTCGCCGGAGCAACTGACTAAGGGAGAAGAGGCTAGGATGTCGCGCCGGCGAAGGAGGGGAAGAGGCCGGAGCCCAATTGTTGTGCGTTCGCTGGACGAAGCAAGAGCCTGCGTATGTCGCGTCAGTGAAGAAGGGGAAGAGTCGCTCCAGCCGCCGTCGACGAGTATCTGGCAAAGTTAATTGATGCCGGAGATCTCTTACAGGGGTCGAGGGCTTTAAGGAGGCAGACACTCCTCTATCAAGAGTGAATGGGTAAACGAAATAAATAAAGGAAATAATTAATTAAACTCATATTAGGAGTGTTTAGGGGTAAATGAAGGGTAATTGGGTCATTTCACATCCCATCTAACGGCCACTTAATGAAAAATTATTACGCTTTAATATTAGAAGGGTATGTTTGTACAAAAATTTAATAGATGGGTAGGTTTGTTAATTTACCAAAGTAGAGGGATACAAAATACTATTAACCTTTTCAAATATGTGAAATCTTTATTCGTATTTCAAAACTAAACGAAAATCATTTATTTGAGAAAAGTAGGGGGAATCGTCTCGCGCTCGGCGCACCAACACATTCTTTGCTGATGTTCTCGGAGGTTGGGGTAAAGTGGAAGGGTCGGGCGACGGGGGATAGGGTGGGTGCCAGGTGGATTTATTTAGTTTAGGTTAATTTGGGGCAAAATTGTCCTTTTGGATAAATTTAGGGGGAAATTTCAAATAGTTAGGGCGTCAAATAGAAGTTCAACAAAGGAAAGGCCATATCTATCATCTTAAATTGAGAAAATGGAATCGTCTCGTGCTCGACGCAACAACACATTATTTGCTAATGTTCTCGGAGGTTGGGCTGAAGTGGGAGGTCGAAAATCGGTCAATAAAAAGAAAAGGGTAAAACTATCAATAATTTTTAGGGCGATTCTTTTAAAATTCTAGGGCGTCAAATTGTAGCTCTCTTCACCGTGATAATGTGAGCGATGTAAGTGCGTGCCTAGACCAACTCACACAACGGATAAAATTTCATCTAAGTACTTCCCATTTCATTACAACGACTTCAATCAATCCTCGGGATGGCAACGGGTCGGGTCGGGAACGGATACTGCATATCTGTTATCCTATCCAAAGTAGTTTGGATTTGCCATACTCATATAAGAATTGAGTTGAAAATCAAAACCATGCCCAGAGCCGTTTAGGTTTCGGGTATCCACCAATATCCATGGGTAAGAATTTATCTTTATAACTCAAGAGGATGGAGAGTGGTCACGGAGGAGGAAGGAAAAACGGAGATGGCGTGTGACTTCTACTCTACGCTCTTTACTTCGAGTCGTGCGGACATTCATTAGATACAAAGTCAGGTGTCGCATTTATCGATTGAGAGGAAGGTAACACCGCGAATGAGTACCTCTTTGGCGGCTCCTGTTTCTCCGGGGGAGATAAAGCGTGCAGTCTTCCAGATTGCAACTACCCAAGAGCCAGAATCTGGTGGATTTACTGGCGTTCTCTTTCGGTCTTATTGGGACATTGTGGGGGAAGACGTAGTGTTGGCAGTAAGCAGCTTTTTCGAATCTGGATCCTTGCTTAAGAACTTTAACCATACCTGGTTGGTTTTAGCTCCCAAAGTGGATGTTGTGGAGACAATGAAGCAACTACGACCAATCAGTCTGTATCAGTTTGTTTATAAGATCATTGCGAAGATCTTAGTCGAGCGCCTAACGCATTTTCTCCCATCTATTGTCTCCCCGGGATAGAATAGATTTGTGAGAGGACGACAGATCGTGGATAATGTGCTGATTAGTCACGAGGTAATGCAATATTTGAAGAATAAGAGAACAGGAAAACAGGGGTTCATGATTCTAAAGGTTGATATGGAGAAGGCTTATGATAGGGTGGAATGACCATTTTTGTTTGCATTGCTTGAGAAACTTGGGTTTTGTGCGTAATGGATTAAATATCTTCGGGCTTGTGTTACGTCAACAACCTTTTATGTCATGATGAATGGGAGACCAGCTGACTACTTTGTTGCTAGTCGTGGTCTCCGCCATGGTGACCCTTTGTCCCCTCTTCACTTTACCAATTGCTCAGAGGGCCTAGCGATATTATTTAGACAAGGTCTGGTAGTGAAGTCTCTTACTGGGGTGAGGATTAGCCCGCGATGTCTGGTTATATCGCACTTGTTCTTTGCTGATGACTCTTACCTGTTTCTCCGGGCCTCTGTCCAAGAATGCGGTACTCTTGTGAGGTTATTGGCTCGATATGAATACTTGAGTAGGTAGAAAGTGAACTTGGACAAATCTGTTGTCTGCTTTAGTAAGAATATTCTTGAGCCTAAAAGTTTAGTTTCGGGTGGTATACTTGGCATCGGGGCGGTTGGAGTGACTGATAAGTACTTGGGGCTCCCTCTCTGATTAGTCTATCCAAGCTAGATACTTTTCACTTCATGGAGGAGAGGGTTATCCAACGACTTCAGGGATGGAAACAACACATTCTTTCATGGGCGGCGAAGGAAGTTCTGTTGAAGGCAGTGGTGAATGCCCTTCCTATACATGGGATGTCTTGCTTTTGGTTTCCTGTCACGTTGTGTAGGGATTTGGATAGGCACCTAGCTCGCTTTTGGTGGGGGGGCTAAGCAAGGGGAGCGACGAATTCATTGGGTGGCTTGGAAGGCACTGTGTCATGTAAATTGGAAGGTGGGTTATGTTTCTGATGATTTGAGGAGTTTAATCAGGCCCTTTTGGGCAAGTTGGCATGGCGACTATTGACGGAACCTAACTCTTTGCTGAGTGGAGTTTACAAAGGTAGGTACTATCCCAATTGCTCTTTCCTTGCGACGAGGACGGGTGCATTGTCGTCCTGGGGGTAATGTGGTATTTTACATGGCATGGAATTGCTCCAACAGGGGGTGCGATGGCAGGTTGGTTCTGAGGTCTCGATTTCTTTTTCGGAAGCGCATTGGGTTCCTGCATTGCACCCACATTCGCCTGGTTTAAGACCGACAACCTTGGGTGCTCAAGGGACAGTGGTCGATCTCATTTCAGCGACGATGCATACTTGGGATGTTGATCAATTACGCCATCTCTTTGAGGATGAAACTATGTCTTTGATTCGAGCTATTCCTTTGCCTACTTTGACACTCCCTGATAGATTGATATGGCATCATGACCTATTTGGGGTTTACACGGTTAAATCGATTTATCACCTAACTGCTCATCTGTGTTGGACTCGGGAAAGGGCCTCTAAGTAAGGGGCTAGTATTTGGGATAACAAACTTTGGACTAAGGTATGGGGGCCCAGGTGCCTCCTAAGTTTAGGGCTTTTTTGTGGCAAATTTTGCGTCGTATCTTACCCACTGGGAAGCGTTATCTACTCGAGGGATGCATGGTGTGCTTCTTTGTCCGGTTTGTCTTGGGGAGGAGGAGACGTTGGAGCACCTATTCTTTGAGATCATACTGGCTCGGGAGATGTGGGAGGCTTAGGGCTTCTTCCTCTTCAGGGTCTTTTCCTGTGGGGTGTAACGGAATTGTTCTGTCAGAGGGTCTTTGATCGTGGGGATGTCTCTAGTTCGGATATGCTTGGGCTGGTGGCTCTTTTCTGGCAAATTTGGAAAGCTCAAAACTAGGTGGTATTTGACTCCACCCTTTACTCTATCTTGGTTCTGTTGTCTCAGCTCACCTCTTAAGTGTCAGAATGGGAGGCGATACCGCAAGTACAACCTGTTGTTACCCCTATGGTTTTGCATAGGGGAGGGGTTGGGAGTATGGTTGAGAGTGTCCCATCTGGGACATTCTGGGTATTTTCGGATGGAGTTGTTGCTCGTGGTTCGCATGGGGCAGGGGGTGAGTGCTACAGGATTCGACAGGCATGGTGTTGGGGGCCTAGGCAAAGGTCTACGATGGTGTGGTGGATTCATTCCTGATGGAGTTATTGGCGCTTCGAGATGCCATCAGCTGGTGTGTGTCTTGTGGTATTCAACAAGTAGTTTTTGCAGGGAATGCGAAAGTGGTGCTCATCAAAGTGGCGATTGAAGGAAGTCAAGATCTTCGTGGCGGGGCGATCTTTGAAGAGATTCATATGTTGCTCCGATGTCTGCATTGGTTTTCTATCCGCTTCGTAGGACGGTCTAAGAATAGGGTGGACCATTTGGTGGCCAGAAAAGGCCTCTCATTGTTTCCTAGTCTGGTTGGTTTTTATTTATCGTCCTGGTTGCGTGCAGCCAGGTGACTCTAGTGTAACTCTTTTGTCTAGGTAATACGAGTTATCTTTCGACAAAAAAAAAAAAAACCTCCAACCTTTATGTTAACAGTCACATGTATACTCGCATTACACAAGAGGAAAGTACAACAATAAATCAGTAGAACGAAGAAAATTAATTAAGACAACACAATTTCATGAAAACATTATACATGTATGCTAAATATAAATATGTTAGAGAAAAGTAATGATTATTTTTAGACAAAATACATATGCACGCGTATAATCGAGCCGATTCGGATTAGCTACTAAGAAAACCATGTCTACCCATTGCCCTCAATATTCGAATTTTACCGATACCCACTAAAAATTCTCCGAGTTCGGATTTTGCCTTTTTGATTAGATCATCCGGATATCCACAATTACGGATATTATTGTCATCCCTAATCAATCCATTCACAGCTGGGAGAGTTGATCCTAGCCATGGAAAGATTGCTTGCTTTCATCGGGGTTAGTTAACGCCTAATGGTACTCATCCTTGCCAAACTGACTGCGTTAAAGAGTCCAAGTTTACCATACAGTAGCAGAGCAGCTTACTAATAAATACCAACATCCAATTACCATACAGTACCAAGCTTCTTAAAAACAGAATAAAGGTAAATTAAAGTTTAAATATTTATCAAGTTGGCCACCTTTGCAAAGTTTGCAAGGCTAAACACCATCATCAGCAGCAGCATTGTTCTTGTAGTAGTTGGCATTACACTCGTACAGTTTACAGCGCTGGTACTCGCACTTTGCAGCAACAAGATCCCCATGCTTCTTATTACACTGCCACAAAACACAAGGTAAAAATCAATACTCGATAACCCGCTGTGAAGAAATCACATCAAGTGCTTACTGATATTATCATCCTAGATACATATGGTTAGTACCATAGTAGAGTGGGTTTTGTTTATTGACAACATTTAAAGTGAAGGAAGGAAACCCCATATATACCTCGTTGAACAGGTATTGCCAAGTCCCACAAGGAACACCCAAATCCGGTGGAGCACGCGGCAGTACTGGTTCCGCTAGAACGGTAGCCTCTGGCAAACCAAAAACAGGATTCCAGATCACATGTTAAATGGAAAACAAACCCTACTGTAACAATTGCAATAAGAGGTGAGTTTTCAATTGTTTACCATTGGCTTCACGGTCTAAATGACGCTTCGTTCTACTAACACCATAAAAAGGAACAGCCTACAAAACACAGCGAAACAGATTCACCCAATCATCAGAAAGAAAGGTTTGATCACGGGTAATTGACACAGAATTCTATTACAGGGAGAAGCTAAGCTAGTTCACAAACAAAATCTAACGTCAAGAGGTAATAGGATAGGAGAGACATACGCCAAGTGCCCTCTCGCGATGATAGAGATCCACATAATAGTGGGCGCCTGAAGTTGAAGTAAGATAGTGTATCTGGGGAGAAACTGCAAGCAGGGAGAAGCAAAGAGATCAATAAAGGATGCCATTAGGGGCGAGTAACGGTGTCCAACGAGTAGTACCGATACTGATTGTTGTTCAATTTTACACTAGCTAGAATCACCAACAATGATTTATAAAAATTATCAAACAGCAGCAGAAGACAGAGGATTTCAAGAATTAACCTTGATCGTGACCGGCGAAACCAACATCGCTGTAGGAGAAGGACAACCAATGTCGGAGCGCATTTCCATATTCGCCGGAACACGCTGCCCTGGCGGGTGGTTCCCGCAACATTCCCCGATAGGACCGCCACATTTTTTTTTTCTTCTAAAAGCTGAAGAAGAATTATCAGAAGAAGAATAAATATCAACAGATTCGCCCCCACGAAAACCCTAACAGAAAAACGTAACAGCTTGTGTTCCAAAGTACAGATCGGATGGGAGCAGCAAAGAGTGCGGAAAGAGGGAGAAAAATTTACAAGAATAAACGGAGAAGAAGAGAAACAAAACAGATAACACGGAAGGAAAGAGAGTCGATAAGCAAAGCACCTTCTCGCAGCCACCGCCCGGCGGTTTCACCGATCCGATTCTTAAACCTCATTGTTTAAGGAGATTTTTAAATCATTTTTATTGGCTAATAGTAGATTAGATAGTTAATAGTTAGTTGGAATAAATGAGATATTATACAAATATAATTTAATATTACTCATTAATGATTATCTTTCTCTCACTCCATTAATCTTCTCCATAACCCTCTCTCTCCACTATAATTAAAAAGAAATTCGAAATTTAATTAAATATTATTATTTAATATTTAATAAATTCGAAGTTAATATATTTTTTTTAAATGGAAATTGAAAATTAAAAATATATGCTCTCTCTCACTTCGTGGCAACTTGCAATGTAGTATTAACGTTTTGCACTGACATTATCAACATTTATGAAATGAATCGTTATTATTATATCTCATCATTATTAATGATTTCAATATACTTATCAATTATTTACAATTACATTATAAATATTTTTTGGATCAATTGTTACCGTTTTATAGTTTCATCATCAACGCTTATGAATGAATCATTAAAGTTATGTAACATGGTCATTAACAGTTTGAATAACAATATCATTGATTTACAACATCTTTACTAATGATTCACATTTTCACGTCATGTTTACAACTATCTAGTCGTGTCTCTTCCAATGATTTCTAATGACATTATTAACGTTTTGTGATCCATTAATATTATTTTACATTATCATTCTGAACGATCATAAAACACAATACTGATTTTCAACATCTTGGATATTTGTGACATAGTGCACATGTGTGATTCAGTGAACAAACATTAGTAAGGAAAAATATTAGCTCAAGCAAACCAACATCCACGCCTCAACACCAAACTTTTAATAACAATACAATAAATCATTGATAATGAAAAGTATTTTGTTGAAAATAAACACAAAACATCAATATAATAATGTCTGACTTCAACATTATAAAATGACATCAAGCTTTTAATAATGATATTAAAAACCATTAATAACAAATGAGCAAGTCACTGATAAGGATATAGATTTTTGTAATAAAAAATATTAACAAATTCAGATGCAACGTTTAAAGTCAAATAGCACTGAAAACACGATAATCACTAACATGTGTTTAATGACTAATGCAACCAAAAACTTTGATAATGATAGCAACTAATGGTTGTTAAGTTCCTTACTAGATATTATAAATATCTTATTTTTTCAAACATTGTTAATGCTTATACACACTCATTAATAATGACACCAACTACTTAGACTGAAAGGTTAATAACCATAGTTATATCATTAAACACAAATTCACTTTTGCTAATGTCATAAACAAACAAATATCTAACAAGTATGCTTCTTGATAATGACATTTGACAAAGTTACAAACATAAACGAAAAATATTAATAATACAAATCACTAAACATAACCAATGTTACAAATGAAATAAATTGTTTCTAATTGTTGTATTGTGCTAAAAAAATATTGATAATAGCACTTCAAATGATTAGAAATCATTGTGAACTAAATTGATAATACACTGTAATAGTGAATGAACAAGTACCAACAAATTGAAAACACAATTTGGATTTTGCTAATGTTACAAACAAAACATAACATTAAAAAAGTTAATAATGCCATATAACATTATTAAAAAAACCTGTCGAACAACATTAATAATAACACAAACGAATACTTAACAATGAAAAACCTAAACCCATGCAACGAAAAGCCCTAATGATGATTCAATTTAAAATATATAGCCTCTCTCACGTTAAGTATGGTCTGGTCTGGTCCATGGCCTGTTTTATTTTATGTGTTGATCTCTTGGTCTGGTCTGGTCTGGTCCATGGTCTGTTTTATTTTATGTGTTGATCTCTTGGTCTGGTCTGGTCCATGGTATGTTTTATTTTATGTGTTGATCTCTTGGTCTGGTCTGGTCTAGACCGCGGTATACCGGACCAAACCGTGTACTCAACCGACTTGTCAATACGTGTTAACAGCCCATACGATCACTCTCCCAACTCCCACAACGACATCCAAATCTCAACCTTAGTTTTGTGAATCTCGTCCCTCCTTCATTCACAACCACATTTAACCAGAGAGTAGAGATAATCGTGTCTCCATATGACATTATGTTAATGTTTATGACATTTGGTGCAAGTTTGGATGCTTTTGCTTTGTTTCTTTGTTATGTACTAAGATTTAGGGTATCAAAATTATTCATGCATGTTAGGATTAATGTTATAAGGCAAATAACAATTATTTTTCTTGGTTATTGGTTCAATTTTTTGTGTGGTTGGCTAAACAAATTATTCATTTTTCGTTGAGTGTGGTCTATCTGGACCAGACCGAACCAGACCGTACAGGTGTGGTCTGGACCGGACCGTATAGTCTGTGGTCTGATCTGTGGTCTATACTTCAACCTCTCGGTCTGGAACATAGACCGTATATATGACCAGACCGCACCGTTTTGCATCCCAAATGTTAATCATCAATAAACGTCGTAACGAGACATGAGGCTGTTGCGATATGTTTTTTAGTTTAATTCTCCCTGCTTATACCATGCTTTATGTGAAAGTATTTTTATGGGTATTTGATAATATGGTTGTATGTCGACCATCTTGTAATTCATTGTTATAAACCCATTGGTTTCAATAGTTCGAATCGTATTGTTGGGAGAGGGTCATGTTATGAATCTATATCACTTCTTAATACACCCGCTCAAACGAAAGCAAACTCATGTGGAGTTGAAGTTTGCACAGATGGAACATATGACATGCTTTAATCAACTGTCAATATTGGGGCCGTGGGGACTTGAACACGAAGTCTCACAATCAAACCAGCCCTGATATTATATCATAAACCAACCGGTCTCAATAACTCGAAATTGTTGAGAGAGGTCCATACCGCTTCCTTATATAAATTTATGAGGCGCGCGGTGATAGTTTTGAACTTAATGCGTGAGAGTCCTTGACAACAAGACTGATAAGCTGTGCGTTGCCAAAAACGAGTGAAAGGAACAACAAGGACAGCAGCAATAGGGAGACAAAAGAAAAGAAGGATAGGAATAGAGGGTGCATGGCTGGGTAGAGAGTATATATATAATGGAAGCCCACATTCAGTTAATGTCACACATATTCCAGACAAAGCTAGATAGCCAGCCGATACAGATAGAAAAAGAGAACTTAAACAACTCTATATATAATCAAGAATTGTAGGAATGAAGATGCGATGTACTAGTGGGTATGTACACGGTAAGGAAGTGGTTAAGTACTATACACGGGTTGTATAAGATCTAGCATAATCTTCTCCCAACAACTCGAGTTATTGGAATCAACTGGTTTATGACATGGTATCAGAGTCTGGTTTGTCTTTGTGGTCACGTGTTCAAGTCCTCACGACCCCCAATATTAACCGTTGTCTTTCAAGCACATGGTTGGTCTAAATAGGAGTGTGAAGAGTTGCAGGCTGAGGTGGGTGAATTATCTTAGGCCTGGACTTAAGAGAGGCCAATTAACACCTCAGGAGGAAGGCATCATTATAGAACTCCATGCTCTCTGGGGAAACCAGTGCCTAGTTCCTAGAGTATGTTAGAACGTTGATGAAGATATGACTAAAAGAAAAAATCTCAGACGATAAAACAACTGGCCTATTAGCTCAGTTGGTTAGAGCGTCGTGCTAATAACGCGAAGGTCACAGGTTCGAGACCTGTATGGGCCAACTTTTTTTGTGGCTGTTTCAATTTTCCTGTAGCTGGCTGCTCTTTGCTGTTTGAGCGGGCTAACCGTGCTCATTTGGACCATAGACGCTTCTGTGGGCTTTAGTGCCCGGGCTATATAATGGAACTGACATTATTAGGTGCCACTATGTGGGCCGTGTAATCGTTTTATTTAGAGAAGCCCATATAATGAATTGGATTGCACTAATAGTCTAATAACGTCATCAAAATTTGGGACAAATTACAAGTTGATCACCGAACTTTTATTTTTAGCAAATATTTCACAAAACTCTGGCTTAATTAACTTATCCATCGTTGATCTACAACCTCCATTCAAATGCAAGCTTATAAAAAAAATACTAGTGTTATTGAAATATAGAAAATAATTGTTCACCACATTTCTTGAAATTACCCTCCCTCTAGAAGACCTCGACTCCACATATTGTATCATTTTTTTCACAAATATCATTGTTATAAATAAGGTTAATGGTGTTTTGGCCCCTGAACTGAACTATGAAGATTTTACTATGGTGACACCTATAATGTTATTTTCCTAATATAATCCTTTTAAACGGTAAGAATCAGATTTAAAAATATGTAATTTGGAAACCATGATAGAATAATAAATAATTCAATAGTCATAATAGAAAGAAAAAAATTGTAGTTGAGAGGCCAAAAATACTATTAACTCTTACAAATACACCTCTAACGAACTCACAAGTAGGGCTGGAAATCGGTAAGGTATCGGTATTCCAATACCAAATACCGAAATTCCGAATACCGAATTACACCCTAGAATCAATCCCAATCCCAATCTCTAAATAATTTCGGTATCCTAATCCCAATCCCTAAATATTTCGGTATCCCAATCAGTATTATCGAATACGAAATTAATTACCTTTGCCATTAATAATTAAATAATTAAATTAGATTTTATTATTTAATTTAGGACAAGGAGACAAAGCAAAGAGTTATGAGTTTGCATTGAGTTAGGATATGGATAAGGAGAATGGAGGAGATGTGACATCTCAAGTTCTTGTCATTGATAATCTTTAATTTGACGAATTGGAGGTTATGAGACGACTAATACTAATGTTTGCATGTTGGTGTTATGAAAATTACAAGAGACTAGGTGAGAGACGAGAGTAACTTAAATTGGATAGTCAAATTTGAGTTGGATGGGGGCTTCTAAGTTGTGAAATAGTGATGGAATGATCTATAAATAATTAAATGACATTCTTGGTGGTTGAGGATCGTGTAGCAGTGAATGAGAGAGTCTAGCCGAGAGGATAAAATACTCACTAACTTACATTTCGGTATTGATCGGTATTTCGGTATATACCGATCCCGATCTCGTAATCCCTAATACCAAATAACAATTGGAATTCAATCTCAATCTCAAGAAATAGTACGTGTATTCGGTAATACCAAATATAGATAAATTGGTACGGTATTCAGTATAATCCCAAATACCGGTACCAAACTTCCAGCCCTACTCACAAATCACAACTAGGTTCAATGAATAAATAAATAAAATTGCAAAATGAAAAATCCTTCATTACCATTTACCACCCATCCACCCCAAATAAAATCGATTTTAACCTGTGAAGCACGCTTCCGACACCGCAGTCGAATCATGACGCGTCCCCATTAAAGCAAGTTGCTCGATGCTACTACCAGTCTCTACGCTCTTACCTCCACCACCACCGTACCGCACCGCCGGCGGGCATAACTAAGTGGGCAGCGGCGTCACCTGGCACTGTTGATGACAGCCCAACCACCGGGCGACACGTACTCAAGATGCTGGCTTTTTGTTTTGGGTTTTTTTTTTGGTTTGGGTTCGCCTGACCTGACAGATTACGGAAACTTGGAGCCCGCCATTAAAAAAAGGCCGTTGGGGTTGTGCCGGGGAGAAATCTCATAGTAAGTTGTGACCAGAAGTAGGCCTGCCTCCTCTCTGGGCTCTCGTCGGAAAGGTAAAACCGGCAGTTTACTGATTGTTTTTTTTTTTTTTGCTGCAGCGACAGAAGGAGAGCAGGTGAGCACACGATGGGTAATAGTAGGGTTTGTACCGTTTTTGCCTCTCGGATCTGGCAATGGCCTACTGGATTATCATCACCATCTTTGTGTGTCGATATCGATGGTTTGTTGTTGTAGTCTCTGCCCTGCAGCTACCACTGAGATCCGGCGGTGGCCAATGGTCCATGGATTATATATGACCATTAATTATTGTTAAGTGTCAAATAGTGTACTTGTAGACTAGCGACTAAAGGTTGCACACCCAATATGTTAAGATAGGATTTTAGAAAATGAAGGATTTAGGTAAAATTTTGGATCTTATGGATGAAGGATTATGTGGGATTTTGTTATTTTGGATTTGTGTTGGATTTTATAAAGTGTGCATTTTTGCTTGTTGGATTTTATATTGGATTTGTGTCTATGGGATTTATCAATTATGCGCTGAATATTTACATTTGTATCCTTAATGACTTGTGTCCTTAATGTTCAATCTAGAAAATATTGAAAAGGGATAAGGATAGACCCGTCATTTACCATCATGGATTTTGTGCCTCCCACAAATTTCCAACTAAATCGGTGGGATTTTATAATCCGTGGACCCCACGGATTTTGACCTCAAAATAATCAAACATACATGGGGCCCATCACACACCATAATCCAACACCAAACATGGACTTTGTGCATAATCTCATGGGTGTGGGATTTTGATCCAAAATCCATGATAAAATCCTACAAGCAAACGACCTCTTAGTACGTTCATCACAAGCTACTGACAATCTTTTGCACGATCGAAGAAGTCGAGCATACGGCTATTTCAAAAGTTTGCGAATAAGTTTTTATGTCATCGAGGTTCGTTCATCAACCTTTGTGTAAAAATGCATCTTACAGTGCCACATTTTCTGATAGTCGTAAAGTGCTATATAAGTGTCTTACGAAAACGAATAAGGGCTTGGTCTTGTGGTAATACTACTAGCCTAGAACCTGGAGGTCCCAGGCAGTGGCGGACCCAGAATTTTTTTATAGGGGTGTCCTCTTTTAAAAAATAAATTTAATAAAAATAAATAATTAATAAAAATAAAATCGTAAATATGAAAATACCTTACTTGTACAGGTTAAAAAAGTCCATGATGTGTTTTCATATTCGGAAATAATTGTAGAATACACTTGGTGTCTATAGTGTTTAAAAAATTGTCTCTATATACACTACTAGACATTCATTCACTAACTTATCGCATATTCGATTTGTAAACTTGTTCTTGATGTAACCCAAAGCTGAAAGACTCTTTCAACACTTGCCGTACAATCATAAAATCAATACAAATTAAGGGTAGTTTGAAATTAGTTTAATTGTTAGGTTTTTAAAATAATTAGAGATAGAGAATGCCATTTTACTATTACACATTGTTCAAAATCGAAAAACAAATGAGTTTAGCTCAACGGAAATTAAGTTTATTAATAATAATAGTGTTCTAGATTTAAATTATCCAACCTACCACTTATATTCCTATACACAAATGATAGCAGGATAATCATTTTTTCAAATTTAAGGGGTGTCCCTCACTATCAATTATATTTTTTTTGTCCATACGTAAATTACCACCGGGGGTTGGATAATCGTTTTCCCAAAATTTAGGGGTGTCCGGGGACACCCTTAAACCCTCCTGGGTCCGCCCCTGGTCCCAGGTTCGAATCCCTTAAGTAGTCTCTAATCACAAAAAAAAAAACCTATATCATCCTTATAAAAAAAAGTGTCTTACATAGGGTCAAATAGTACTATACGAAAGAACAAATCACCTTGATGTGATAGTCGGATCATTCTTACATGACTCTCAGGAGAAGGCGGAATGCGGTATTGTGATCATCAACAACCATGGGCAGATTTGTGATGGACGACGAGCTGATTCTTTTCTTTGTTCATCTCCGCTATAAGCTGAAAGCTCTCCTAGAAGGTTTGAAATTAGCTCAAGAGTTACAACTCGGTTGGATTGTGAGGTCCTTGTGAAGGCTGTTTTACAAGTGGACAGAAGGATGACCTTGGTGATGCTCCTCTGTGATTGCATCAATGCGCATGATCCTTGATTCTTTGCCTATGGTTGAAGTCCGCTGGATCTCTCGTCGTCTCAACTTCAGGGCAAATTGGGTGGAGAGATCTCTGAACCGTTCCACACTCTCCCTCGCTCGCGACTGGCTCCTATTCTTGATCTTTTTCCCCCCTCATTTCTAATTATGTTTTTGGTTTGTAAGACTCTACCGATTATGAATGAAAGACCAAACCATCCTTCTTGTAATTATTCTTGATCATACTATATGAGATAGAAGCTTAGTCAGTGAATTTGCAGGCAAAGGTTTAAATAGTTGATCCGCAAATTACCCATTCTAGTCCTAGAACTGAACATGTTAGTAAAACCAAAACAAACTAAAACCTGTTTCACCAAAGCATAGCTTAAAGGAGGTATAAATTGATGATCCAGTGTACGAGTTTCAATCCATAGTTAATTAGTCCATCACATCTCTAATCTCAGAACCTACATGTGTACATAAACCCTAATTAAGGCCTAATGGGGCAGTAATTAGCAAGAGCGTGTGGATCAGGCGCCTGAGGGGCAAAGTTGACGGGAAAAGGAGGAACATTAATGCAAAAGAGAGGTTTTACACAGTAGTGGTAAGAAAGAAACAAAGAGCAACCCTAACACACTTTTTCTCTTTCTATCCTTTTCCCTTCTCAAGCTGGGTGGTGCTGATTAAAAGAGAGGACAAGAAGAAGAAAAAGGGAAATCATAAAACCCAACAGAAAAGAGAAAGAAGGAAGAAAAAAGAAATAACGCTGAAGAGATAGGAGATAGCAGCTGGGTTGCGTAGGTGAGGTTAAAAAGCAAACAATATACTCTCTCCCTCTCTCTCTTCTCTCTATCTCAAGCGATCTCAAAACTGAGAGATCAACAAATGGAAATAAATTAGCAGACCACCCAACAACAAAGATCTCATCTTTCCATAGCTAGAGCTTGAAAGGAAGCTTATTTCTTTGCTTCTTCTCTTTAGCTTGTTAGGGGGTCCTTTTTTGTTGGATCCTTTACGCCTCTCTAGGGTTTCTACCCTATCCATCTTTCTTTCTTGCTTCTCCCAAGAATCATCAGCTTTTCTCCTTACTTGGGTTGTTTCACAAATTTGGTTGGGATTTCACCACTGAATCCTGAAAGCAAGCAGAGAGATTAGCGGCTTGTTAAGGAGCTAGCTTGGAGCAACCACTCAACCCAACAACAACAAGCACAAAAAGGTATAAACCACAAACAAAAGATAAGAACTTTGAATTGTTGTTGACATAAAAGGTTATTACATGATCTGATATATTTGCCTCTTTTACTTGTAGGTTAAAGTTGCTTCAAAGGCTGCAAACCCAAAAAAAGAAAATTTTGGGGGAAAAAAAGGAGAATTCAGATATTTGCTGAAGCAACTAGCTGAAGGAGGTGAAGAAGGAGAGATATATATGGGGAGGGGAAGAGTGGAGCTGAAGAGGATAGAGAACAAGATAAACAGGCAGGTGACTTTTGCCAAGAGAAGGAATGGTTTGCTGAAGAAAGCTTATGAGCTGTCTGTACTTTGTGATGCTGAGGTTGCTCTCATCATCTTCTCCAACCGCGGCAAGCTCTATGAGTTCTGCAGTACCAATAAGTAAGCATCTCTTCATTAATTATCCCATCATCGTCTTCAACTCATTCTCTCTCATCTCAATTTTTTGTTAAAGTTCTCCTCTACCCTTCTTCTGCTGTTGGATCTATTTGTGTGGGGCGATCGATCTATGCTTTGCTTTTGGTTCCTGACCATGAAATCCTAGCCTAACTTGGATTAGATCTATCATAAATCCGTGGTTACTTATTAGATGTAAGGTAATTATGGGAGAATTTAGATGGTTTCAAATGCTGGCCCCATCCAATTATTGCACACAAACATCTAAATATTGTCCATAATTATCATCCGTACTTGTGAAATTTACATTGAATTATCGAATTTTCTAATCAAACATGGAAAAAAGGGGGATCTTTTGGGCTATTTTGTTGTTCTTGAAGGGAAGAAAGAGTATTTGATAGAAGTTGGTTAGTGTTGTAATGATGAACATGGGGAACAATAACATGGGAACTTGCTAATACCCTATGTGTCAATGGGGGTGTGCAAAGAGAGAAAGGAAAATGAGAAAGTGGGATCAGAGAATGCAGGCAGCTGGGTGTGATCTTAGAAGTCTGAGATGTGAGTTTATAAAGTGTGAGAGAGATAGATGGTCAGAGTTTGATTCACCGGTTTATCTGTTAGGCAATCCAAGGTTTCACCTTATTGATGCTGCTGCAAGTTTTCTTTCCTTCTCTCTGTGGGATCCGTAGACACAACTTTTAATAAAAGAAGACTCATAATTGGTCATCAAAGTATTAGTTAGTTAAACCAAACTAACAATGATGCTGATCAACAAGAGTTTATATGTTCAATGTGTTTTAATATGTGAGATTATCTCATGCTTAGAATATATGTAGAGCCAAATCAACTAAAAATTTACCATATTTTAAAATAATCATGACATACTGCAGTCATTTGACAAGTATGTAATGAGCCTTGAATTTAAAATACATGTTTCTTTTATTTTGATCTGTTTGTTTTCTTTTTGTTGCATTTCATTATAAATAACGTGTATTTCGTAACTTATAATCTCACAATACATTTCATCGTGCATTATTATAGTTTGAGTTTTTATTATCATCTATTAAACTACTAGTTCAGCAATGCCATAACATTACCAATTCAGTGATTATCTATATAAATGAAGTGTAAAATATACAATTTATCTTTTGCTTAATAGTAGTTGATCGCTCAGCCTAGTAATAATTTTTTTAATTTCTTCCACGTTTGGCCGTTTGGGATTGTCAAAAGGGGCTTCGATCTTTTTCTATTTTCTTTTCTTTTTTGGGTGGTGAAACTAGAGGTTTTTGTTTTAACAAGGCGAATCTGCCTAGTTTGGGAGCATTGGAAATAGTTAGCGGTTCAAACAGTGGGAATGTCATTCCATCATATCAAAATAGAGAGTATCTCCTCTCTTCTCAAAAGAAATCTCCATTGAATCTCCTGTTTGTGAAAGTTTGTGCTAGCTATGAAATCCTAATTAGGGATTGCATGGTTAAAGATCCTCCCCGTTGCACTGTTTAAATACTACTTTAAGGCTACCTAGTTATTCAATTCACACCAACATTCAAATGGTTAGCTAGGGTTTCATTATGAGATGAACAGTACATAAAAATAGTATCTTTCTGCCATATACTATAGTTATACTGTTAAATATATATTCTTTTCATTTTACATGTTTGTTTGTACGTTATAATAAAAACATACGATTTATTCAAGGGCCGTTTTAATAGCAACACGATGTTGGGTATTATATATGGAATGAGGTTGGCGGTTTCACCTTTGGTTAGATTATTCATATCCGATATTATTATGTTTGTATCCTTTCTTTGTAATTTGAGTATCCTTGCGGTGGAATTTCATAGGCTCCTATAATTAATATCACCAATTTTTCAATCGGTATTTCAGCATGCTCAAGACACTGGAAAGGTACCAAAAGTGCAACTATGGAGCAGTGGAAGTGAATAAACCTGCAAAGGAGCTCGAGGTAAACTTTACGTACGCCTTATGTCTCAATCATTGATTTGCTATTGCTATAGAACTATAGAAGTGAAGGGCCATGATAGTGTGCCAGTACGAGCTTTGCATGGTGTTTTATGCTAATGAATTCTTGGCTACATTTCGTAATGAACAGAGCAGCTATCGTGAGTACTTGAAACTGAAGGGTAGGTATGAAGGCCTACAACGAACCCAGAGGTAAAGATTAAAGAATAAGCCAATATATATAGTTAGTGATCAACAAATAGATTGGGAGAAATGAGATGGTGCATTAATTAGCATTTGGTTTGGACATGCATGGTGGTTCAAAGCAAAGATTTGGTTAACGATGATGACGGTGATGGTGGTGCAGGAACCTCCTTGGGGAGGATTTAGGGCCACTGAACACGAAGGAGCTGGAGCAGCTTGAGCGTCAGCTGGAAGGTTCATTGAAGCAAGTCCGCTCCACTAAGGTATATTAACCATCATGTTTCCAGCCAATATATATATAATTTCCATGGCTGCCTGTGTGAGATGGATAAGGTTGAAAAGTTTCTTCTTGTAGACCCAGTTCATGCTTGACCAGCTCTCTGATCTTCAAAACAAGGTAAATCTTCTAATCTCATCTCAATCTCACCTCCCAAAGCTACAAAGAAGCAGGCTTGACAAGCTGGTTACTTTGGTTTTGTCAACTTCTGGTGATCAAGCTCACACTTTTGTATATGGGTTAATTTGACTAACAGGAACAGCTGCTCCTTGAATCCAATAGAGCTCTGGCAATAAAGGTATCTCTCTAGCTATACATTGTTTATATACTTGTTAGAGATTTTCCACGTTTTGTCTTATCACCACTCATTTGGTTGTAAATTGCAGCTGGATGAAATCTGTTCAAGGAACAGCATGCGACCTTCGTGGGAAGGAGAGGATCATCACAACATGTCCTATGGAGACCACCATCATAATCCACATGCTCAATCCCAGGGGTTTTTCCAGCATTTAGATTGCAACCCGACTTTGCAAATCGGGTACTCTTCATTTCAACTGCTGTGATTAGAAATCGATGATTATGGTGTTCAGGATTTACCTTATAGCTTCAGCAAAGGTCCTTATCATAAAAGAACCAACTCCCTTAATGGCTGTATGCACCTTAATTTGCAGGTATAGTCCAGTAGTAACAGACCAAATGACTGCCACAACTCATGCTCAGCAGCAGCAGCATCAGCATCAGCACCAGCAAGTGAATGGGTTTGTTCCTGGATGGATGCTCTAATAAAAAGCTCTCAGTAGCTTTCATATATACTTGGAGGGGCCAAGAGGATGGATAATTTGGCAGCTTTGCATTCTCCCTACATATATATCGCCTCCTTTTAAAATGTTGTTCTATCATAAGAAGACTGCAAACCCTTCTTTATCGATAATGGCCTACTGCTCTTACCAAGTACTCTACTTTTTGTGGCTAGCGACCATATATGTAAATGATTATGATTTCTGCAGATAACATAAGCACTCAACAGCTACCTTTGTGCTATTTGTCATCTCTCTGCGCTCCAACTATGTCATGCAGCCTTTCTTTTTAAGTCATCTTCACTTATGTAAAGCGACATTGTAAGCTTCAAAGCAACAACCTTTGATGGTCTGTTGTATATCATTATGAATTATTAGTAAATTTTATCATATGGGCGTTGGATTTGGGTTTTGAATGACTTTGGGAGATGTAGGTAAAATGGTACAAAATTTAAGAATTTGTCAATTTTCATCTCAAGGTGTGAGTTTATCACGAATTTGATACTTAAAAATTTGATGCACAACCATGGATATTTGAAATATCTCACATCCAAGCAATTTCTCAATAAGAGTTCAATAGAAAAGGAATGAAATTGCATAAGATGAAATTAGCCATCAGGATTGCGGACCACAATTTAAGTAATTTATATTTTAATGAATCATGCCGTGGATTTACACTAGTATCTAGATTGCAAAGGTCTCTCACTTTGTCAAAGAATCAGAGGAGTGAGCAATGTTGGCACTCACACAAGTACATTGACAATAAGTGATTCATTTAGCGAGGTTTGAGTAGAAAGAGATAAAATTCTATAATTATCAGATTATGGAGTTATTCATCATCACAATTTGTGATCATAAGAGAGTGCTAAAAATTTATGTATGAATATTTCTCAACTACTTGAATTATTGGAACCAGATAATTTATAAATGGTGACAAATTAAGAAGTTTACATTTCCGTCATAATGTAATAGTTCCAAACCAAAGGAATAATTGCGTTGAAACTACCAAGAGATTAAACTTTTTTTACCTTGCATTTGACCAAAATATTGCATAAGTATTCCTTTTGTTATGTCTTCTGACTTCAGCCAAATATATTGAGTTAGCTGATGGATCGGGTAACTATCAAAGAATCTAAGAACGAAAGAACACCAAAGTTTTTTAATATGGTATCGTCAATATGACACTAGTCCACAGAGAGAATCTCCTTCTCAGGTTTTTCGGTTTATATTTCTTACTTTCAACAGAATACACAGCAGCATATTTATAGGTTTGCTCTACAAACCCTAACTCCACAATGTTGGCTATTTACAATGTGGTACTTATTATTAATAAACTAACACCCTCCCTCAAATTGATGTTGATTGCGTAACATCAATTTGGATGATAAGTACCGATGTCTGCTTGATCCCACTGCCTTCGTCAACACATCTGCAGTCTGATCATCTGTTGATAAATAGCTCAACTGAATAATACCTTCTGCCACCAATTGTCTGATATAGTTAGAGGTGGCAATTGGATAGGATTCGTGGATCCATGAATCAAATGGATTGGATTCAATGGATTGGTGGATTGATCCATGAATCCAAATAACATCCAAGGCTTGGACCAAAATGTAAATTTTGAAAAGTTTAGGTACTAAAATGTCATAATGAAAAATTTTAGGTACCAAATTGTAATTTTCAATGATATTTTTCGTATAAAAATATAAATTTTAGGTACCAAAATGTAAAATATAAAAAATATAGGTACCAAATTGTAATTTGCCATTTGGATTCATGGATGGATCCATGAATCCACCAATCCAATTGGATTTGTATCAAATAGATTGGATTAGGTGGATAATTTGGTGGATGAATTGGATTGGATTCATGGATTTGGATCCTAATTGCCACCTCTAGATATAGTGTACGTGTAGCTCTATATGCTTTGTCCTGGCATGCAAAACTGGATTTACTGCAATCTGAATTGCACTAGTATTGGGAAAAAATCCAAAATTACCACTATAAAAAAAATTACAAAAATACCACACATTCCCAACAATTTCCAAAAATACCACCCTTCTACTCAAAACGCACCTCGAAGGCGCGGTTATAAACCAAAACGCGCATCCAAGGCGCGGTTAACGGGTCGGGTCTGGTCTGGTCTGGTTAGGTTTAGCTGACATGGAGGGTTTAAATGAGGTGGCGGGTCGGGTCGGTCAATTTTCGGGTTAAAAGGTGTTGATTAGGCGAATCCGTCAGCCACGTCATCACTTAACGGACGCCGTTAACAGCGTTGGACGGCAGCTAACAGAGAGTGACCATAAATGAACGGTTTTTGTAAAGTGAATGACCAAAAATGGATTTAAATATTTCAAGTGTCCAAACATGAACGCTTTTTGTAATCTCATAGACCAACCATGCAATTAACCCCAAATTAATAAGACCCCTGAAACATCTCATAAGTAATATCATCAATGTTTACAATGGGATCGCTCATCCATCTCAAGTTCTCAACTTTCACAGACCGGCATCCACTAACTTGACACTTCATTAACAAAATGATAATTTGGATCCAATTACCCAAATCCAATGTTATACATACACTAGAAACCCAATTACCCCTTTTTCACTATCCGGCCATCTGCCCTTGCTCTGTTTTTCTCTGTGGTTCTTTCCTTAGGCTCATCAACATACAATCTTGATTTGCCACCACAAACAAATACAGGCCCTCTCTGCAAATTCGCAACCATATCTTAACCCTCCATTAATACAAAATCCCAAAGAACATAGTCGTTTCAGATGGCTACTCTGCACCTAAAGTTCAAATCTTTGGACACATTCACTTAGCACCCTTACAACCCTTCCAACAATATGCTCCTAATCCACCCCCATTTATAAGCCATTGTCCCCTAATCCTTCATTAACCCACTAAACCAAACTAGCATAGGGCCCGGCCGATTGGCCGGTGGAGTTATATCTTGACATTCTAACTTACTATTATGTTTGGTTTATTTCGAATACTTGAATGACATCGTAGAAACTACCCTATTGTATGTAGTAATAGTTGTCTTGTGTTAAAATGACAGACATGTACATTTCATAGTTTCCATATCGTATTCATTAATATATGAGCCTTAAGTAAACATTGTTGGGTTTACTTTATACCAAATGATACTTTTCTAATTTATTAATTTTAAAATTAATGTAATTGAAATAAATTAAATTTTATAAATGAATTTGAAAATAGTATAGATAATATCGTACTTTCAAAATAATTTTTCGTAAGAGCTCCAAATAAGACTTATGTGTTATATAAAAAATTGTTCATCTTTTTTTCAAAAAAATGTTTTTTCGAGCTAATTGGCCCAACTTAACCTTTTAAAGCAGAAAAGACTTCAAAAATTTAGGTCAAATATAGACTTAAACTAAGAATAAAATTTATTGCACTATGAGGTTCATTGATTTGGTAAAGTTATAAATAAATCAATTAGAATTCAAAAAATAAATAGTGGACACTACCATGCCAAATAATTTATCCTCCATCAAAATTCATAAATCACTAATAATATGTGCTTCTTTGGAAAAATATGAAAATTTTGTTTTTTTATCAAGAACAAACACTATTTCACGTTGTCTGCAAATATGATTATAGATATTGTGTATATGAATTTTTATACCATCCTAATTTTATTTCTCAATTGAGATAATGTAACTAATATATTCTTTATATACACACATATTATAAATACACACATTCTAAAAAAAATATTTAAATCCAAGACACCCAGCAACGGTTATACAAAATAAATAATAAATGATGATCGATTGTAAATTTCCAGCCCAACAAAATAATAAACAACTAATAAATAAATAAACCAAAAGAAGTGGTTGGAGCAATTTTCACCGCAACGGAAAAAATGGAATTGGGTACGGTTAATAAATAAAGTGATTAAAAAAAGGGCTGTGAAAATACCAACCAGCCCTTCCGAACTGTGCGGTACGCAGAGATTGGGCTGATGTGGCAACTTTTTCATGTTGACATTGCCTTATATTCTTCTGTAGATGTAGATAAAACCCATTTCTCTAATTACTCTCTCTCACTCTCTAAACAATGATCCCATCGCCACTGCAAAAGCCAGACGTTACCTTGTCCCTCACGCTATCACTCTCCTCTGTCTCCGGTCCGGGGAGCACGGCCCGAGACACTCCTGAAGGCAGAGGGATCTGACTCATCGAGCTCCTCCTCAAATGCGCCAACCACACCTCGACACCTGGCGCCAACGACCTCGATCGAGCCGACACGTGTCTCTCTCAGATATCAACGCTCGCCTCTGTTTCCGGGGACTCGATGCAGCGGGTGGCTGGCGGCCCACTTCGCCTCCTGTTTTAGGAGAAATTTTGCGTGATCAATGCACCCTGACTTCAAGAAAACAGAAAACGATGTTACTCGGTTCACACCTCTTCAAACACTATTCGAACGAGGGTGTTCGATGCATACATCAAAGGATCTGGCTACTTTTACCTCTACTCCTATGGAGATTTCTTGAGAGCTATGCAACTACTAACTACAACTAACAGAGAAGCCTCGTTGGAGGTTCCCTGGCGCTACTGCTACGGTTACTGTTCTAGAGAGAAAAGATAAATTTTGAAGAGACTTGTTGTGATTTGATTTGTTTGTCCTCCTCCAGAACCTTGCTACTAGTTTTGTTGTGCCTCATCCTCTAACCGCCTTCTCTCTCTCTCTCTCTCTCTCTCTCTATATCTATCTCTCTCTCTCTCTTCCCAAAAATCAGCTCCACCTAGCATCCAGTAACTCCTCTGAATGTAATTTGCAAGTCAGTTGTTGCTTCTAGTAGCCACCTTCGACACGTCATCATGTCCCTGGACAATCAACCCTATGTACCATGGATGAACAATTAGATGGTCACCATACACCAAATAACATGGATGGTGTTGTTGCATGATACCATCCACTTTAAGTTTGGATGGTGTCCATTATATTTGGGATGGTGTCCCTGATCTTAGATAGGGGACATGTTACGGTGATTACTTAAATTGGGTATGAAAAATAAATTGTATTAATTAATTTTTTTAATAAATTACATTGTAGGTAGTTACAAGAATCTATTAATTACAATTCTCTCTCTTTCTCTCACTTCCATAATCTTCAGCCAGATCCATTTTCCTTATTTTTCTCAATCTTTCTGCAAAAGAAAAAAAAAACACGAAATCGCTACCAATCCATTAGATAATCACTACCACTTTGAAAAATATCAATACCATTGCAGAAATAAATCTATATCATTACACGAAAACTACCAATATAAACAATCTACCAATATAAATCTATACCATTTCACAAAAAAATCAATACCATTGCAGATTGAATCCATACCAATACATGCAAATTAATACTATTACATGATAATCAATACCAATGCGACAAAAACAATACCAATGCAAAAAAAAAACACTACCACTACAAAAAAATCACTACCAATGCGGGGGAAAAATCAGATCTAGAGTTTTTATTCATCCCACCTTTTCCAGCGAATCTGTCGACCCGAGGAACTTCATTGCTAATGCTCTGACGAGCAGTGATTTCCCAACTCCGGTTTGGTCGACGGAGTCGTAAGGGATGGAGAGTAGGGTTGATCGGAGAGGGGAAGGGGTGGAGGCGATGGCGGATTTGATGGCGTCGGAGAGTCGGGAAGTGAGGGAAGGCGGGGAGTGCGAGACGTCGAGGTGAGGGGTGTGGCGGACGGCGAGGCGGTGGGAGCCGCTGTGAGGTGGGACGGGATCGGGGGTTATGACGTGGAAGTGGTCGGAGGTGTGGGTGGAGGAGAAGAAGAGAGGATGGCCTCGGAGTCGGCCGGGAAGGCAGATCCGACGAGGCGGAGGTTGATCGAGAGCGGGAGCGATAGGGAGAGGAGGGAGGAGACGACGGCTAGGTAGATAGGTTGTATTAGGGTTTGAGTAAAATATATACAGTAATCAGGTGTGGTGTGTTTTTCATTTCCTAAATTACCCTTAGCTAATCTTAATCATTAATTTAAAATTATAATAAAATAAAGATAATGAATGGTATAGATGTTGGTAGCCACCGTGATTACTCAAAATTGAGTAACCACCCTAACCTATTCCCTTAGATAGTACCATCCACCATAGGGTTTGGACGGTGTCCATGATGTTGGACACTACCATCCATTATTGGATTTGTATGGTGTCCCTAAAATCTTGGATAGTACCATCCACTATAGGGTTTAGACGGTATCCATGATATTGGACACTACCATCCATAATGGGTTTTGGACAGGGTTGTCACGCCGGCCAGCGTGCAACCGGTTGTACTTGGTTCAACTTGTACCGGTCATAAAACCGGCGTGACACCATCGGTATGACCGGCATGATCGATATACGAATCTCTAAGTAAAATAACCTTATTTTAGTGACTTTAATTGTTAAAAATGATTTTATTGTTTATTTTATGAGTATAAATGTTAAATATTGATGTTATTTGTTGGATTCAACTATAAATGTTTAGGTATTGACGTTAAATGTCATATTTAAAATGAGTATTTATAATTTAATTTGTAATATTGACTGGTATGAACTGTCACAAACCGGTATGTGCCAAACCGGTACACTGGCATAAACCGGTTTGACAACCTTGGTTTTGGATGGTATCCATATTGGACACTACCATCCATTATTGGATTTGGATGGTATCCATGAAGTTGGATACTACCATCCATAATGGGATTTGGATGGTATCCATATTGGACACTATCATCCATTATTGCTACGACCCGACTTGATAAATTTGACCAACCATGTACATATGGACCAGCTATTTAAATTGGCCAAGTTGTTCATACATGCAATAATTAATGAAAATTATTTTGGTGTAAACACCTCCGCACTCGCCACGCGCCTCCTGATCAGGCGGTGGCCGGGGATCTATAGAGCCATCAACAACATGTGTTGCTACCGTTTTCCGGTCGTTGATCATGACGTCAATTCCGCGGCGCGTGTCTTGTTTTCCCAAGCTTTCCCTTACTTCAGCTTCGCCTACGCCATCATAGCCCGAACCTTGCTCCAAGTCATGACCACGAGCGGGTCGTCCACCTCGTTGATCTTGAGTCGAGGGATCCGAAGCTTTGGGTCCCATTGTTGCTAGGGGTGGACATCTGGTTCGGTAAACCCAAACCTGACCGAACCAAAATCGAACTTGACCGAACCAAAACCGAATTACTATTGTTCGGTTCGAAATTTGGAAGTCAAAATCCTATATTTCGGAAACCAGGGTTTGCTCAAACGAACCCGAATTCCGAATTCCGACCGAACAAACCAATTTTCTCACCTCACACATACAACCCACAATTACAAGCCCATAGCCGCCCACAACCCAAGCCCACTCTCTCTAACACTAACCCTAGCCAAGTCCAAAACCCTCTTCTTCTTCATCGTGTTGCCTTGTTGACGTCGCCATAACCTGCTGTTGATATCAGTACCACCGCCGACCGCTGCCTCTCTTCGTTCTCTTCTCATCGCCGGCCATTGAAACTCAGAAAACCAACCAAAAACAAAATCATAGATTAGCAAAAGCGTACAAAAACACAAACAAAAACATAATCGTTTTACCCAAGCGGGATCCAGATCCCAGATCTACGGCGGCATGCGACAACACCCTATCCCAGATCTGCGACGGCGGCGACATCCTATCTCAGATCGGCGACATCATGCGACGGCGGTGGCACCCTATCTCAGATATGCGGCAGCATGCGATGACGACGCGCCTCGTCTCTCTTCACTGCCCTAGGAGGGATCCTCGGCGGTGGGGGAGCTTTCCTCCTCTTCAATCGGGCCGCCGCCGACCACATGCAGGCGATGAAACCTCTATTGTTGCCTGCCGCTACCCCCGTCAGCTGATGTTGCGAGTTGTCGTTATGAGTTTGGAGACAGAGGAGAGACTAGAGAAAGAGAAGGGGGTGAGGAGTCTGGAGACGGAGGAGAGGCTAGAGAGTAGAGAGAGAGAAGAGGATGAGGGATTAATCTGCGGCTCAAAAATAGGAGAGGGTGTTGCATTTTTATTATTTCGGGGTTGAGCCTTAAAACCGGACCGAACTGAAATATATTTCGGTTTGCTATATGACCTATTTCGGGGACCCGGTATACACAATTTCGGTTCAGTCGAAATCGAACCGACCTAATGCCCACCCCTAATTGCTGCATAGCTTCCCCCGGCTGTCTAATGGGCCGCCACATTTGAAGGTGACTTGTGTGTCAAGCAACCATACCGTGTTGGAGAAGTTAGGGCATAGGCTTGTGAAAGAGGTTGAGATTCTTGACCTCCCTTTCCAATTCATTCCCTTGAATGTCGCCGCTCAGGACCTCACCCCGGGTTTGCTCAAGATCCGAACCGGTGAGGCTCTCGCGTTTATCTCCATACTACACCTCCACACCCTTCTAGCTGATGATGATAATCATTATCACAAATTGAACGGTCCTTATTAGGGGTGGAAATCAGTACGGTATCGGTATCCCAATACCAAATACCGAAATCCTGAATACCCAATTACACCCTAAAGTCAATCTCAATCTCAATCCCTAAATAATTTCGGTATCCCAATCTCAATCCCTAAATATTTCGGTCTCCCAATCGGTACTTCGGTATCCCAATTGGTATTATCAAATATAAAATTAATTATATTTGCAATTAATAATTAAACATATAAATTATATTTTGTTGATTAATTTAGGGAAAAAAGACTAAGCAAAGTGTCTTGAATTAGGATATTATTAAAGAGAAAGGAGGAGAGGAGACATCTCAAGTTCTTGTCATTGGTAATCGTTAATTTGACGAATTGGAGGTTGAGAGACGACTATTAATAGTGATAGAATGATCTATGTATAATTAATTTACACTCTTGGTAGTTTAGGGTCGTGTACTAGTGAATGAGAGAGTCTAGTTGAGAGGATAAAATACACACTAGCTTATATTTCGGTATTGATCGGTATTTCGGTATATAGCGATTCCAATCCCATAATCCCTAATGTCGAATAACAATTGAAATTCAATCCCAATCCCAATCCCAAAAAATAATACGTGTATTCGATAATACCAAATGTAGAGAAATTCGGTACGGTATTCGGTATATCCCAAATACCGGTACCAAACTTCCAGCCCTAGTCCTTATGATAATGATAACGTGGTTAGAAATGGAAAGCAATTGAGTACATTCCTGCAGATGGTTTGGTCGATGTCTCCCAAATCATTGTTCGTTGTGGAGCAGGAGGACCAGAACTCGAACCGGTTGGTGGACTGGTTTGTTGATGGATTACATTACTATAGCACGATTTTTGACTCGATAAACACAACATTTGGCAATACTGGGCCGACTAGAGAGCAAGCACAAGGGATGATTATGTTGGAGGAGATGTTTGGAGGGAGATTGAGAACATGGTGGCATATGAAGGGCTGGATGGGGTGGAGTGGCATGAGCGATTCTCGAGATGGGAATTGAGGATGACTCGAGCTGGCTTTCGACCGGTCCGAATGTGGTACAACTCAGATGAAGATGCCAAGCAAATGGTAGGTGTTTTTGGGAAGGAATGGTTTAAGATTGTGAGTGAGAGAGTGAGTATGATGATTTGCTAGCATGATCGTCCGTTGTATGCGGTCACTACATGGACAAGTTGATCGATTAATAAATTTTGTCATCATATTATAAAATAATTAATCAACTAGATCATAAGTACGTCTTGTTTTCTAACAGTCACTTTTACAATTGTATCTTGGAATCAAGGTCCAAGGTTGTAAGGAAGGACTATGGAAGTTTAGGATATATCGTAAGGTTCCAAGTGAGAAATGGACAGCTACATAACCATTATAAATTTCCATGCTTGTCATTTTCATATATGTTAGCAAACCAGCCGAGCCGAGTGTCCGGTTCTACCACAAAATTTGTCCCAACACATCCACCACAATGTAACATTATAGAACTTAGGAGCTATAATTTCCATATTTGCTAATGTTGTAAAAACCAGATCGAACTGGAGAAGTGAGAAGTTCAGTATCCAAAGTTTATCAGGCGTTGAACCGTTAAGAAACCATAATCAGTATTTACAGTGCTCATTCATTAACATGTGAAGGACTGCAGGATGAGAGTAAACATGCTGCAAAGGTGCCAATGGTTCTTGCTGTTACACTTGATTGGTTTTCAGTCATAACAGAAGTACAGGAGGAAATCACTGGATAGGCAAACATTTGAGAAGAGAACGAGGGAGAGCGGATAAACTACCAATCATGAATAGGTAAGGTAGAGAGGGAGAACGAATCTGCAGGAGGCTCTTACTCTTCTCTTGAAGCAGGATCCATTCCAGTTGAAGGGCTATCAGCAAAATATTCTTGATGCTTGGCATTAACACCATACTGGCCCACCAAAAGATCACAAGCAACAGTCAGGAATTGCAATTCAGTCAACATATGACATCATGAAGAAAGAAAACACATCTGGATAACCTCCAGCTTTTGACGACAAAATTGTCAAAATCAGTTTTTGTAATCTCTTCCAGGAGAAGTTTTTCAATCAACATTTTGGATACAGGAAATTGGGCACGAGGCAATGAAAATACGACAAAAATGTTAAATCAGTTTCTGAAATCTCTTCCAGAAGAACCTCTCCAATCAACATTTTGGAAAGAGGAAATGGGACATGCAGCAATGACAATGCTAACCTCACGCAGAGCCCTCGAAAGGTCCTCCATCGTCAAGACGAGCCTCTTGTCCTGTTGACACGACAAATTAGCACCAATGGAAACTGTAAGAAATCCTAGCAACGAATAAAAGTAAGAAGCAATGGGTTTGTCACACCTTTGCCTGCTTATCCCTTTTGTCCTTAACTACTGCTGCTGAGCGTGCTTTGCAGTGCCTGCACAGGAATCATAAAAGTTATAACTATCACCAGAAAGAGTAATAAATCTCGCATCCACTTGAAGATCGAGAAATAGGTTCCCAAAAAAATCACATAAGTGAGACAATATGGAAATCATACTCAACAAACTAATTTTCTTTAACAGATAGCACACGTGGTAAATCACTGCAATTTAGAAGCTAAGCTTCTCGCAAAGTTTTCAGCAAGATATTCGCTGTTCCGCCTAACTTCCATGTATGCATTGTGTCTCAGAATTCAGAGACATAACTAGCAGTAGTCATTTAACTCATTATACATAGTGAGGCATACGCAAAGAGAAACCTTTATAAACAGTCCTAAACAAAGAGAATCCATTCACAAGTTGAGACTGAATCAAAATGCTTATTCAGAGACAAAACTAGCAAGCTGAATCTGCACTATATCCGAAGTAACAGCTGTCAATGACATGAAAGCCTAAGCCACAACAAAACGTTGAAAGAAGCTGAGGACACTGGAAATTCTATGGCCCTAGGTCAAATGCTTGAACAAGTGCAGCCAAAGATAGGTAGAAAACATATATGTGTAGCTTAACATCGAGGTGGTCTCTAGTTGAACATTCGGGCAAATGTAAAGGAGAAAGCGGGGGGAGAAATTGTAAACTGGATTTTAGAATCCAGACATAAAAGCTAGGTTACTTACTGCAGAGCATCACTTGCAACATCAGCTACAAACTTCTGAGTAGCAACGGCAACCAATCTGATTCTGAAAATGGACAGCACATCAGGTCAGAGAAACGGCAACACCACAAACTGAGTCCGTACATTTTTATCAGGAAATATGTCAACGAGATTCACATTCTAAAGTAACAAATCAACCCTTAGACTTCCCCCAAATGCAACAAATAAACCAACAGACACATGATCTACACTGAACCATCAAACCAGGGTATCAATAGTATGCACACAAATGATAAGCAATAAGAAGCATCATCTGCAGAAAGACTAAAGCCAAAAGGACAGCAGAACAATTCGTATAAAGTTCACCAGTTTTCCTAAACGAATTCTGATACCCTAATCAGCTTCATAAGGTCACCCAGTTTATCCGACTAAGAATGGTATCACTCGATGCAATCTCTCATAGCAAGTTGAGACTACAAAACTGTCTACACTTACTAATCAATTGGGAATAGTTTATCACTGAAACCCTAAGGCAAGTAGGCAGAAAGATTAAGACTTTGAGCAGGAAACCAGCAAAAAAGAAACTAGAATCAAAAGGAAAACGCTGCAAGCCCTAAAAGGGAAAATTAGCAACACCAGTGAAGAGGGGTGAGAAGAAGTACGGACGTACAATCTAACGTCGGGAGAGTGAAATCCGCTTTTCCCCAAGAAATGCTCCACCAATTCATCGGGAATCTGAGGGGGGGAGAAGACAAAAACGTTAGTTACAGAAGGAAGAGGAATTAGAGCAGAAATTTCAATGGGTTGATGAAAGGGGAGTTGGGTAAATCACCGTGGGAGTATAATCCATCAAGGAAGAGAGGAATTCCGCCAGCACTGCGTCATCGTCGTGTCGCCTTCCATCGCCGAGCTGCTGCTGCTGGTTCATGTCTTCTCCCTTCCTTTCCGCCGGTCGCGCGGTGTTGCAGTTAATTTTGTTTTATTGTACACTCGTTTTATATGCAGCGGGCGAGACGGTAATTTCCCGGGTTAACCAGCATCATCACTTAAGTTTCAACTAGTGACAAAATAGTGCCTAAACTTCAAAATATTGCCAAAATGGTCACTTACTTTTAGAACAAGCAAGTTATGAATTATGATCCGACCCGCCTGGTCCGAGAAATCAAAATTGAGTTGAAGTTTTTTATAACCTAAAATTTGAAATGACCTGAATCAGAGGGTCACCCGTTACAGATCCTATTTATCTGCAAAATGATAAAATCACTTATAAAATTGGTACATTATTTAAAACAATTCACTAGGATTTGAAAAACAAGTCTTGAAATGTAGGGGTAGTTATATATAATGTATTTCTAGTAGTATTTTTAGAAGGGGTAGTCATATATAATGTATTTATTGTAGTATTGTTACTTTGGCGGTGTTTTTTGGATACTTTTGTGCCTTTTGTATTTCCTTTTATTAATTTGTGAGGATTTAAAAATATGTAATTGACATGTGTTAGCTAAATTGTTACCATGCATATATGACATTTGTGTTCTTTGAAAATTCAAGTGTACTTAGTTCTTGTTTCTCAGAATGTTAATGACCCATGATAACTCGAAAAATGATCGAAAATTTTAGAGCTAATCAATATCTATCACCTAAATCAACCAATGACAGCTACCACCCGTTAATTCTAAATCACCCAATACGACTCAGTTGTTAGTTATACCTGATTTTCACCTTATGACAAACATTACAGATTCACTTAACTTAGAAGTGTCACAAAGTGGTCATTGAAATTTTTGGGTCACAACATTATGGTCATTGTCATCTTTATCAGTTTATCTTTATGTTTCTCTTATCAAGTTTTAAATCTTTAGTTATCTAGCTTGTTTTCATCTAAAATTTGTTTCTATTTGGACCAATAATCCTTCCCATGCTTTAATTTCGCATGTGCTCTTATTAGGTTAGTCGATGTGTATGAGTTGATGCTCGTGGCTTATCAGTTGAAACTACAAGTGTTTAATCTCTATATATGAAGTAATATATTAACAAATTCTTTTTATAGTTTTTATCCTGCATGACCATTGAATTGATTGCCCAATGTTACCCACAATAGCATAATTTCACCTCTGAACTTAAATGTATATTGATACAATCCTTGCCATATGTACGAAGCCTTGTACAAATTTAAAATGTGGTATATGTTACTTTCCGATCTATAAAATTCTTCTTGAACTTATTAGTTTATTTTTTAATACAATGTTAGAGTTCGTGATTAGAAAGGCCGCTGAATCATTATAACTCATACTATCATGCACCAATCACTATTTAAGCACAATTTTCTATTAATACCGCAAGTTTATCTCTTAATTATGTTACTGTTCCTTACGAAGTTTTAGCAAGCTCTACAATTAGTAAGCAGTCTTGGGTTACTGTTCACAGGGCAATGCTCCGCTGTGATAGTTCCCACAATACTCCTAATATGCTTTTTCCTATTACTCTTTTCTCATTTAATGTGCATATCCAAACACTGATATTTTAGGGGGATAAAGGCTTACACGTAGTACTGTATAGAAAAGAAGTTCATAACTTAATTTTATTACTTTTAATTACTAAGTACAATATTCATTTACTTTTAATTACTAATTAAGTACAATATTCATTTACTATTAACTAAATATATTCACCATGAAATATTAATTTTCTATTAACAAAGTATTCACCATTAATTTGACAAAGTATTCACCATTAATTTGCATATTATGCCAAGGTTTCGTAAGTTAACTTTTAAATAATAGCTTAATAAAACATTATACTTTTTATAACTTGATTTTATTATTAGACCACACATTATAGAAGTTTTACGTCACACTGTTTTACAACAGTTACATAAATATATACGTCATACATTACGTAAAGTTATAGATATAGAGTTATTTCTGATGTATCAATTAAACAAAACATATTTGTTAAGTTTTCATAATGATTAAAACACTATATAAATTTTTCTGGATGGATAGTCATTTCTTATGTATCAATTAAATAGGTATATTAAGTAATTCTTTTGTGATATAAGTTTGAACAAAAATAGTTATTATTAATCAAGATGTTAATCATCTCACCAATTTGCATCACACAAAAACTATGTGAGGCCATTTATTGTCATCCTTGTCTTACACAAATGTTTGTAAGATAAGTTTACATAACAATTTAATCAAATGTGATATTTTTTCGTAAGATGAATTTATTATTAGACCACAATTTATAAAATATTTACGGGGTCGTTTGGAAGTTGCGATTGTTAAATAGATGTATTGTTGAGAATGCATGTATAATATCAACAGTATAATTTATAGCTGAAAAGTAAAACTGCAACCCCCATTCAAAATTTCCTGCCCATAGAGTGATTTTAGGAAGCTGATGTGGCAGAGTGTTAAGCGGGAAAAAAAGAGTCCCGCCTGATTTCAGAACCAAAAACTCTCCACTACCCACTTTTTTCTCCTCCCAGGCCCACGTTCTCATTTAATTTGTATAAAAACTCTCCACTACCCACTTTTTTCTCCTTCCAGGCACACGTTCTCATTTAATTTGTATTTTTTATTTCCGATTTCCCTTCCTTCCACTCTTTCACCTCATTCGAATAAGTTTGGCCTTCAGAAAACCAAACCTTGACTCAATCATCTG